AGTGTATTAATTCATCGTTTTTTTCTTATTTTTAAGATTATTTCCATTTTTTTAGATGGGTTTAACAATAAAAAAAACGACTTTTTGTAGCGATTCAGAAAACCGGAAAAATCAGTTATCCGGAATAGCGATGGTCCCGACCGTTCCGGATAATCGGTTCCCAACTGTAATATGCATTAACCTCTTTTTAATTAAAGCTCCTAATTCTACACTTTTTAACATACTACACCAACTAAAATTTAGCAGCATTTGTAAAATAAATAGAATAATTTTTAAGTTTAGTACAACAAAATTTTCTAAATAATTAAATATTTAACTGGAATCAATCGATTTTGTAAAAGAAAAACTCTGGAAAAAAGTTTACTGTCAGACTATAGAAGAAATAACTCTTTACACTTAAGTTGAAAATTAATTAATTATTAGATTTAAAATGGGTTTTTTTTTTCAGTATAAGAATTTAAAATTCTACTTATAATTGATTCTTTTTGTAAAATATTTAATTTTCAATGAAGCCGTTCATAAATCTGAAACTTTCTAAAACAAAGAAAATCAGAATCAATTTTAAACTCTTAATATATTTCATGAATAATACAGTAGTTATAAAGAAAATTTTAACCACTCAATGTATGATTTAAAAAAGTTCATTTTGTTAATAAAAATATTATAGAAATGTTGAATATTAGGCTGTATTAATACAGCCTAATATTATAATAGTTAGTATAAGCTGTATTAATACAGAATTTAATTTTCAGAAATATTTAAGAAGGTATATTAGGTATACTTCATTTCTTTCATACTTAGGGAAAAAAAAGCACGGAAAGAAATATACATGGAGTACTAGCTATATCATGTTTATATAATACTGAAATAAATACATAAATAAGCATTAAATAGTTGCAAATAATTATTTATTAAAACAAAATTAGGAATTCACACCAAAATATAGATAAATAATGCTTGTAGATACATTTGACATGGCATAATAATAAAATACATAACTACAAAACGTTTTATCAACAAAATTTTTTTTAAAAAAACTGGGAAAAACCTATATCTGCAAGTCATTATATACATAAATATACATCTTTCTCTTAGAAAAAAAAATTAAAAAGCAATAAATAATATCTTTAATTTCACATAGGAATTTAGTTAAAAATTGTACACCAAAATAAAACTAAAAACGGCAGTTCTAAAGGCACTTTACCATGCTTGTCACATTGTATGATTCTGTAAGTATCTTCTTTGGTTTAAAAGTAAAACTATTTACTATTCTATAAGACTAGAATGAAGCAATATTTACATATTAATAACAGTATTTAAAAGGAGTGCTACTTAAAAAAGAATAGTACATATTTCGGTTTATTCATGTCTAAAAATATATTTATTAGACTTAGTAAAACAAGCAAATTAATTTTTTGTCGCATTATACTATTTTATGGATAATGCTTCCAAATTAGGTATTTAATAAAAATTCAAAAATACTATACATATAAAATAAAAGTATATGTTTCTAAAAAAAAGAATTTTTTTTTAAAGATTTTTTGTACACTTCAATGTGGTCAGCAATATGAGATACTAATACCACAATTTACAAGCTAAGAGGAACTATATGAATATTAAAAAATAGACTTAAAAAGATGTTAGTCAAAAAACCAAGATAATTCAAAAGCAGAATAATGAAAATAGACTATTAAAACATTCGTGTTTAAATCGCATGCTAAAAAAATTTTTCGAAACCAATGAAAGTTTATTCATTTTAAATTTATTTATTGTATGCTTATGGGAGCTCTCAGACTACTGAAGTCAGAGGAGTATGGTGCAAATTGTTAAAATTGGTTTGTCATTTGTAGAGTCTAAAAAGTTCGGTTGGTTTAAACACCAGCGATCGAAAAGCCTTTATTTTTTCAAGTAGTCATTTACATTGCAAACTATCAGTTATAAATTTCAGCTCATCATTTTACCAATTATTAGGAATTTATTAAATTTTTTAATAAATATACGTTGATTTGTAATGAAAAATATTACAGAACAATGTACATACTTTTCGTTTCTTTATATCTTTTTCGTTGAAAGAAAATTGATACAAATAAAAATTCATATAAATGAAAACTCACGAAAAAAATTAAAGACTAGATTAATTTCTTAATTAGCATTAGGAAATTAATAATCTGCTTGGTGATATGTAATTAAACTGGTTAAAATGCATGCAGGTGGGAATAATTTTTCAGTTCTGGAAATGATGAATTGAGAATTTTCAATCTCTTTAAAGGTTTTATTCGCTACAGTTGTAATTGTTTTGTTCTGGCAGATTTTTATTTTTTAAATATTGAAAAAATGTTATCAAACAAAGAATTATCAAGACGTGTTACAAAATTGAACTGGGTTATTTTGATAGTTGGAATTAGATGAATGCATTTAAACAATTGAATCGAAACAATTTGAATTATGCTCAACTGGCACCAGGTTTTAAAGTACACCCACTGACACACATTCAGAAAATGTAATCTTTGCTATGAATCATTAATGAAATGAGGCAGTTCAGGCAACAAAATAAGGCACATATACAACAAAATTTACATAAGATAAAAAAATTATTTACATCTGAAATTATATTCTTGAAAATCTCTAAAATATGTTGCAGCACTTTCTTAACTTTAACACATTTTTAATGGATTTAAAAGTAATTGAAATGACCCCTAAAGCTGATATTTTACACTTTACACTGAAACATTTTTTTACAATTAAAGCTTTAGTATATGTAAGCACGCTAAACAATTACAGTTATTTTTTATTTTGGAGAAATGTAATGCAGAAAATAGTGCAAAAAAATAGTTAAAATGAGACAATAATTTTATAAATAAATTAATACTGCTCCTATTGATTACCTCATAAATAGAGAAATTTAATACCTTTACTGGAAAAACAATGAAAATAAATAGAAACACCTTTTTCGAATTAACAACAGTATGAGGGAGGAAAGAGAATAATAAATTATTATAAATAAATTACAAATAAACAAGAGTTGAGATCCTTGGAAAAAGTTTGAAAAATAAATAATAAATTACAGTCTTATTTACATAATAGCATAAAATTTTTTGGTTGAGTCAATAATTAAAATTAGAAAAAAATTTGTTTACTAATTAGCGTGTTATAAAGCAGGCACTAAAGCTATGTTAAAATCCAAAGACACAAAATGTACAGGACATATGCATATAAAAAGTAGATTTATATAGGAATTAAATTTTGACAATTAATAACAGAGTTTTTAAAACTAATTATTGAATGCTTCAAAAATGTTATTCTACTTATACTATTGAATGCTTCAAAAATATATATTTATTTTTGAATAAAACTACAAGAGTTCAAAAAATTAAAGTTACATTTTTAATCGCTCTGTAGAAAATGAAGGATTTGGTACAGGAATTATATTTTTAGAACTAAATACTTTGTCTCTTTTTTAACTAATTATAAAATGTTTCAAAACATCTACATGTGCTTTTGAATGTTTCAAAAATATATATNAAATTAGTTTACTAATTAGCGTGTTATAAAGCAGGCACTAAAGCTATGCTAAAATCCAAAGACACAAAATGTATAGGACATATGCATATAAAAAGTAGATTTATACAGGAATTAAATTTTGACAATTAATTACAGAGTTTTTAAAACTAATTATAGAATGTTTCAAAAATGTTATTCTACATATACTATTGAATGCTTCAAAAATATATATTTATTTTTGAATAAAACTACAAGAGTTTAAAAAATTAAAGTTACATTCTTAATCACTCTGTAGAAAATGAAGTATTTGGTACATGAATTATATTTTTAAAACTAAATACTTTGTCTCTTTTTTAACTAATTATAAAATATTTTAAAACTGTCTCCCTACACGTGATTTTGAATGTTTCAAAAATATATTTCTATATTTAAGTTTTAAATGAACCCACAAAAAGTTCTTAAACAAAGAAGACATTATTGCAGTTTTCAGAATTTATAATTAAATTAGAGCTGTTTAACTATTTACAAAATTTTAAGAGGCGAGAATATTTCAAAGTTTTTTTTAATAATTCTACATACGTTTTGGTTTAAGCAGCAACAATTCTAGACAAGTTTAGCAATTATAAAACTTGTTATTTAAATTTTAACAGCATTGATACAAAATTGATTGTAATTTTAAAAAGTATTATAATAAAAATAAATGTTGAGCATAGAAAAAGGATAAGTTTAGAAATTTCTAATATTGTAAAATTGCTGCAACTTGAATAAAATCAAACTATAATTTATTTAAATTAATCTTGCTTGCAAATTTTACTAATCTTGCAAGTAAATATTACAGCAAAACTCTAAAACTTTTCTTAATAATCTCTGAAGTCTGATACTCAGTCTCGCGTGTACACTTTTTTTAAAAATGTACTAAAAAGAAGTATTACAATTTGAAATTCAGCTAAATTAATATAACCCCCTTTTCGGAGTCCAGCATGCATCTTTTTCATTACATGAAAAATTTAAACCTGCGATGAAATGTATCTAAGTATGTAAAGAGAAAACTACAGATTGTTTTCTTTTAAATTGTTTTGAGTAATCAAATATAGTTAAAATATTCATTATTTTATATTTATCGCACACTATCAGATTGTATTTTAAAATTGAAACATGCCAAACTAGAAATTGAATCATGCATAGCATTGTATGGAAATATGAAACATCCTATTAACAGTTACGGCAGTCATTATTCAGCACATTGAGACAAAAAGTTCTGCTAAATGAAATTCAAAAAGAAAAATTGTACTTTATGAATATAGGAAAATTTTAAGAAAAAATTGTTAGAGATTTTTTTTAAAAATAATATCAAAGAAATGTTTTTTTTTTGCAAGCCTCTGATTCATTGTTCTAATTATAACTATGCATAAATCATTAGAATGTGATAAGACTGAAAAGATATATACATTGATAAAACAAATGAAATATAAAGTTGTATTGTAAATATATACGCATAGTAAAACATATGGATGGTTTTATTGATCTTAAGTAGTAACAACTATTACAATGAAAAACGTATAAATATTAGGTAAACAAAAAAATAGTTGCATTGTGATTTATTCAAAACTATGCATAATCAGTTCAAACAATTTAGAAAAAAAAATCTTTAAAATACTGGTAAATCATTGATCTGACCACAATTGAAGATTTAAGCGGAAAAAGGTTCAAAGTGACATATCGAAGAAATGTAAAAAAGTAAGTTGTGACCAGCTGTATCTATAGAATCTATTTTTTTTATGCAAGGTCAAAAAATAAGACAGTTTTTAGTAAGAAAATGTGTTTCGTGAACACCTTTCTACTATAGGTACATTTTCTAATGCTGGAGGTTCTAAATTTATGAAAATGTCTCTTAATCCACAAAGCTCTTGAATACTTGATAATTTAAAATACAGTACTGAAATCACTGAAACTTTTCTTATTTAAATTCAAAAGACTTTTTCAAAACAATTATTAAGTGATATATGATAAATAAATGATATTAAAAGAAAAATATTGTAATTCTATAATTTTTATAAGCTTTTTTTCCCAGTACCAAATTTTTAAATTTCTAAATATTACATTTAAAAACAATAAAAAATTATCCTCTTACTTCTATTAGTCACTATAACAAAATGAGCTTTTTCAGGTTCTTTTAAGCACCGTGATGAAGTTAATGAGCAATTACTTTTTTCATCCTTTTCTTTTATTTCTCAAAATACAGTGATAATGCATATTTTGAATATTTTATACATCATAAACATTGCAACTTTTTTTTCATACATACAATAATAAAGAAGTTAAGTATCATTACACATAAAAAAATTATATTAACAGTGAATTATTAGTTACATCAAAACTTTAGAAACCAATTTAAAATAAAAGGAAAAAAGAGATTTATATATTGCTTAGTAACTTAAGATAAGATTTTAAAAAGAAATTAATGATTAACATACCAATACAACAATATGAAACAAACAATATATAATAAACATAAAAACATTAAATATATATAACATTTAAAAATTAAATAACATAGAGTCTTTGGTTGGTTTATGTAGTGGTTCGTCAATATCCGCTACATACACGTATCTTTAAAATACTTAAATGAAACTATTCAATATACAAATGAAAGAATTAGCATGTTCAACATACCATTTTTTAGGAATTATAGAACTTAAGAGCCATCTTCCCTTACCATTTTGGATTACTTAGCATTCATTTATTTGCTTTGTTCTTAAACTTTTGATAACAGAATAATATAGTTCACATTTGCGACCGGGTTGAATCTTGAAGAGTGAATATACATAATCATTTTAACTTCAAAATTAAATAAAGATGATTAAAACTTTTTTAAAATTTTCATCCAGCATCTGACAACCTCCATTGACATTGAGTTTGGCCACAAGGGAAGAGACCTCTTAAGTAAAGTAAACTAATATAATTTGTTTTAATGAGCTATTTATCTTTCAGAAAAAAATATGATGATAAAATAAAAACATCCTGATTTCTTGCATATCTCCAAATAGAGGACATGAATAATGCAAGAATTATATCACAGTTCCTGAAAAATGAAATCAGGATTACAAGAAGGAAGTACTAAGGCATTGAAATAATTGAACATTATAAGCTCAATGAACTAAAATAATTTAACTTAATTTATAGATTATTTTACTTTATAAAAAGTGTAGAGTAATTTAAAAAAATAAAATAATAAAAAATAAAGAAAGAAACATAGAATTTAAATTAATATATGTTGTGTCTTTAACAGAGTATTCATAGATTCAAATAGTTTAAAAATATTTTCTCTTTCCCTTGATGTTGTCAAAAGAGTATCAATAACGTTCCATATTTCAACGATATATTCCTTTCTTTTATTGTTTGTGTTTTTAAATATAGGGTGAGTTTGGTAAAAAAACAAAAAAGCTAAAAATTGAAATCCAAAAACACTTTTTAAATAATTGAAAAGTTTGAGCGGGAAAAAAGTGTATGCATGAAACATTCATTCACAGAATGCTATTGACGTTTTAATAAAAACATCGATGCAAGATTTTATTTAAATTGTGTGAATCTCAACCTCAATATGTGATTTTTAAATTACGCGAATACGAATCTTGATATTTAATTTTAAAATATATTGAATACGAATATCTATGTTTGGATTTTAAATCTCGTTTGTACGAATCTCTATGTTGGATTTAAAAATCGCGTTAATACGAATCTCTATGTTGGATTTAAAAATCGCGTTAATACGAATCTCGATATTTAATTTTAAAATCGCGTTACTACGAATCTCGATGTACGATTTTAAAATCGCATAGATACGAATCTCGATGTTTGATTTTAAAATAGTGTGAAATCGAATCTCGATCTTTGAACTTAAAATGGCGTGAATGCGAATTTTAATGTTTGATTTTAAAATCACGTGAATACAAATTCTGATGTGTAATTTTTAAGTCACAGGAATGATGCTAGTTATTTATTTATTTATTTTATTAAATTGAAAAAAAACTAATCCCCGCCTCAGAAAGTTTGAAAATCAAAGGCTATTACGTAATCATGGAAAAACTGCAGCTGTGTGAAGAAAGGAAAGAAATTCTCATATCATTTTCTAACAGATTGACTTGAGGTTAGGCTTAGGAAATTTGGACCATTTTTTTTTTTTTCCTTTTCTAGTAATATTAAAAAAAATTCCGCGAACAGCGTCTGTGCATATTATACTTTTCTGACTATTAGAAATACCACCTTGATCAAAAAGTTCCCGGAATTTATTCAGAAAATTAAAAATACAAGTTTATTCATCTAAATCTATATTGTCCCCTTCAAAGAAATCCCCATTGACTGCAACACACTTATGCCAGTGCTTGATCCAATCCTCGAAACATTTTTTATATTCGGTTTTCGGTATGTCCATCAGTGCATCCTGCGATTTTTACTTTGATAAACGCCATTACCATTTGATGAACGCAATTCACTTGTCTGATGTCTGGATTGCATGTCGTACTCATAAACCCACGTCTCGTCTCCATTAATGATCCTTTTGATGAATGTGGGATCGGATTCAGCCTCGCAAATCATGTCTTTTGCGACGTCAATACAGTCTCTTTTTTGCACGAAATTGAGGTCTTTTGGCACCAACTTTGCTACTACACGCAAAACCCAAATCATTTACCAAAATTTCTTGGACGGATCCATAGGCAATGTTCAAGCTCTCCGATATCTCTGTGATGGTTAATTTGCGGTTATTGACCAACATTTCTTTTACTTTATCAATGCTTTCGTCGGTTTTCGATGTCGATGGTCTGCCACAGCGTTCATCATCTTCGATTGACTCACAACCACTTTTGAACCGCTCGTGCCACTGGTAAACGACCGTTTTCTTCAGAGAATCGTTGCCGAAACACTTATCAACATTTGCAACGTTCGCGAACCATTAAATCCGTTTTTCATGCAAAATTTAGCGCAATTTCGCTGTTGCAAATTTAAATCCATTTCTAAAATTGTAAAAAATCTCCAACACACACAGAGATAGATGTACTCTTGGCTACGTAACTTTCGCAAATGTCGAGCTATGATGCTAAGATTTAGAGGTAATATCAACAACAGATGTACCAACTTAACAAAAAAAAACAGAACTCAAATCAGAACGATGGTAGCGCCAGCCGGGGGTTATTCCGGGAACTCTTTGATCAAGGTGGTAGGTTCACTAGTTTCCATAGCAGCAACGCAGACAATCTTGGATTTACGCTCCGAAGAAGTTTTCAAGAAAGCTAAATGCGTAAATCTAATCGCACAACATAAATAAAAAAGATATAAATCGAGAAGGAAAGTTTCAAAATCTCAATAAATTTCAGGTCTATCAGTAGGTCAGTAAAATTAGATAATCTGTAAATTTTGTAGATAATCCGTAAAAGTTGGCAAGAAAAAAATATTATTAATAGGATTAATTCAATCTTCAAAGTAGGAGAATTTTCAATTTTCCTTTTTACAATTTCTGAAATCAATTATCAATTTTGGGAGCCACATAGGCACCCAAAATATTTTGCGTGTTGCAAATTTTATTCTAACATTAGCTCTAATTTAAGTTTAACAGTTTAAATTCATTAAAAAAAATGTGTTACGCCATATACAATGGATGCCAGTTTATTTTGAAAATCTGCTAATATTTTCATCTTTACAAAAAGTAAAACATAAATAGATTTTCATAAAAAAAATATTAAATGTTATTTGGAAAATATTTTCTTACCTAAGCAATAGGATCTTTCTTATCTTCAGAAAGGCTGCCGTAAGTGTGAACATATGCATTTTGCAAAGGTGATGCTTCACGAGAAGGTACTCGTGAAACTTCTTGAGCATGAGAGGCGAGGGCTAAGTTCATTTTTCTTGGTGCATCTTCAACAACATTGTATAAGCCAAATATATGCCTTGGATTTAACCAGGCCACTAAACCAAGAGCAAACTAAAAGTAGTGAAATTTTTAAATAAGTACACAGAACTGTAAACTGTTAAAAAATAGCAAAGGAAAACAATAAAAAATATACAATATTCAATAGCAGATAATTATTGTGAAGTGCTTAGTACAGAATTCAAAAATATTTAATGATAATATTGAAATCACAGCAAACAATAAGAGTCTTTTTAAATATTAAACACACATATCACATCAAATTTTAATAGAAATTAAATATTAATAAAAAAATGTGATTAAAAGTTAAGTACAGTCTACACTCATTAGTAGGACTCTCTATTATAATAACCCTAATAAATTTTGTTTACTATTCCATACATACAGTATTAATTTTAATATTAAGTACTATGCCTACACTAAAACGTTCATTCCAGTATAGCAAAATACATATAGTTTCATTTTTTTCAATAAAAATTACCTCAAAAACAAGTATCAAATGATTTTGCTCTTTTAAAATTGGAAGCTTTAATTGACAATTAGTCATTGATTTAGTATAAGTCTTACAGAAATTATTTAAACTATTATTTCTTTTGATGTGACCAACTCCTTAAATGACCAACCTAGTAGCCAACTCCTTAAAATTTCCTTACATTATAATATTCCTTTGAATGATAGAAGAGGAAAGGACCCTAGATTCTTGTCCTAGATGTGCTTAAGTCAAAAAAATTATGGAATATGGATTACTATACATTGATAAACAAAACTGTTTATTGCTCAATCATATGGAAATCCAAATATATTCACATTACTAACTTATCAATACACTAATTTCTAAGGCTAATTTCTAATATGCTCATTTTTTAACAAAATAATACAAATATACATAAAGAATTTTTTGTATGTTTGAATATTTTTAAAAACTGAATATCTGCATTCCATATATATATTTTTCAGCTAATTTATATGAAAACACTATATAATGCATATATTGCATTATCTGATTCATGTTTTGAAAATAGAGTTTCTCGCTTCAAAACAAAATATTCAAATTAGAAATTAAATTATGAAACAATAAGTAGACAGTTTCTATTTATTAATTTTAAATTTAAAACGTTTTAAAATCAATTCTAATATTTCATGAATTAAAAAATATATATATTAAACACATTTTTTTAGAGTAAAAAGAGAGTATTTAAGGTGTAAAAATGCCGACAATTGGACACTGTTAATAAGAACATAAATAATTTTCCTTGCAAAATTATTGAAGATATTACTAAAAGAGATAACAATTTTCTAAGAGAAGTAAAGATATAAGTAAAACACACTTTAATAAATATTACTTTATACTAAGATGTGATATATAAAAATAAGTTTAATTTAAAACATGATTTTTTATGTCTTAAACTTGCACAACTATTAAAGTTTCAAAATGTTCTAGATTCCATGTTACATCCAAACACTTTGAGTAAAAAAAAGCAATAATTTGAAAATAAGAAAACTTAAAGACAGAAAATCTAATAACTAAATAAACATTTATACTTACAGCGAGTAATGTGCAAAGAGCCATGAGTGAAGCTGCTTGTGGAAAAGAGTAAAAGTCACATAACACACCTCCAAGAGAAGGTCCTGTGACCTCCCTGCAAGAGAAGAAAATATCTTAAACATATTACTAAAAAAAAAACATTAACATTCAAATAACAAAAAAAAAACATAATAATGACAATTAAAACATAATAACGATCAATAGCATTGACTCTTTTTAAAATATAGGCTTTTTATTTTAAAAACAGTATACATGTTTAAAATAGAAAGTGTTTCAAAGATGTTACTTACTGCCCACATATGCATAAAAAATATATATTAACAACGATGTAGTATTCAAAAACATGCATCTTTGTATGTGAACCAATTTAAGTGCTATACAAGAGTCACAACCATTTATTATAAAAGCTTTCAGTTTCAGAAAACTTCTACATTTATTGAAAGTTTAAAAACAATCATTAAAATAGTTAGTTATCATCAGAATTAGTAGATGCATTAATTTCCAATCTATCAGAGTAGTTAAAAGAGAATTTTTAGAGGATCTAAATTTAAACATGAATAACAGTAGTAGGGAACCGATTATCCGGAATGATCGGGACCTTCGCTATTCCGGATAACTAATTTTTCCGGTTTTCTGAATCGCTACAAAAAGCCGTTTTTTTATTGTTAAACCCAACTTAAAAAAATAAATATTTGGAAATAATCTTAAAAGGAAGAAAAAACGATGAAGTAATACACTAATAATTATTTCCAAAATGATGGTAAGGTAAACATCTTTCAAAAAAGAACGAAAAATCCTAAAATCTTATGAGGAAAAAAAAAATTTTTTTTTTTAAATGGCGGGAAAATTTATTGAATTTCGTTCCGGTTTTTTGGTTTTCCGGTTTTCTGATTTCCGGATAACGGGTTCTGTACTTAAAAATATTAAAATACTAAGAAATCATTGCCTAGCTAGATATATTAAGTGTTTGTCAAGCAAATTGAAATCTTTAGACTTAATGTGAATACATAAACCAATATAAATTTTTTTATGTTATCCTAATTTTTTGTAAGCTTACAATAATTAAAAATTTATATATATTTAGCAAATGTATCTTATTTTAATTAAAAGTTATCATTATATTGCTTCTAAACAGAGAGTCATAATGATAAACTAGAATTGCATTTGATTTCAACCATTATTGTTATAAAATAAAATCTATTGAATAGTATGAAATTTTAGGGGTTTAAAGAAAATAAAATTCGAGGTAATAAGAAAATAAGGGTAATAAGGAAATAAAATTTGAAAAACTAAAGAAAAAGCATATGAAAATTAAAGAGTGGGCTCCTCTTAATTTGACCATGGATAATTCAAAAATAGTACTGGATAATTAAAACTGGATAATTTTAATTATTTTCTTAATAAGTGCCTCAAATAATTTTCATAGTAAACTGTCAAATTAACACACTTATGATATTGTTGTATTAGATAATTATTGCAACATAACAGTATTCAATAAACACCACAATATTATTAGATTTAATAAATATTACAATAAAAAAAGTACCCAATAAGTATCACAACATTATTGTATCAGATTATTATTGCTATGTTATCATATTACGTTTATATAATGATTGCTACATTATCATATTCGCTATGGATTGCAATATTATTGTATGCTCGTTATTTATAAAAAGACCCTGTATCTGGAATATATTATGGAAACAAATTGTAATATATAAAATATAGTTATGACACAGAAAAATATTGATACTTTATGATACATTGACATTGCTCAGTTTTAATATACATTATGCTTACCCTAAAGAATACACAGAATTCCAGAGACCGGATACAACACTGTATGTATTGATATCATCTTCGAAACCATTATTCCTGGTTAAAAAAAATAATACATTTAAAAATGCTTAGAAAAATGCTAAAATTCATTTTCTAAGCGTATAAATTTGAACTTACATGCATACAATAAACATGCTCTCAAAAGTGGGAATCAGGGCAACAGCAATGAAGATTCCTAAAAATCCTAAAGAAGCTATACTCAACCAAAGACTCCTAAATGACAAATAGCAGAACATAGAAAACATTATTCAAAAATTCAGTTATTTTTCATAACTTTATTTTTTTATAACTTTATTTTTAACTATAATATTTCTTAGTAACTAACATGTTTAGTTTTATGCATAATTCAAATCAAAAAATTATTTAATTTTTTCATACATATTAATTGCAAAATTATAAAAAAAACTAACATGAGACAAGTAAGATGTTTTTAAGAACAAAAAAAAATTATTTTTTTCATATCATAAAAAATATTTTATTTTCTCAAGTAAATATGTTTGAATATTCTACTAATGTATCTTTGACCTGTGTATATCCTAAAAATTATTCAACTGGTTCATTCCAATTAATCAAAATTTAATTCTTATGTTTTTAAGTGTATTACATTAGACTACTGTCTGTACATTAGACCACTGACTGTATATCAGACCACTGTCTGCGATTTAAGAGCTTACAAATGTGAAGTGTTGCTACAACTCACTCACTACAACCCGTTCTTTTATTCAAATTTTACTACGAATTTTATATTTATTTGTCCTGACTGCACTCTTCTGCTTTCTGAGTAGGAAGGATTCTTTTTTTTTTTGGAAATTGAAGTGAGCCCATAATAAAATATAAGTTTTAAGATTTTTCCCTTTTTTCAGTAATATAAGTTTAATAAAATATAAGTTCTAAGAGTTTTCCGTTTTTTTTAGTATCCCTACACCAGTTCAGTTATCCAGTTATAGTGAGCATACAGCAGTCCAGTTATAGTGATCACTCTAAATTATCTAAATTAATATTTGTATTTCCTTGCTTAATTTGTTATTAATGTTCTGCCACGTGGTCAAATTCATGCAAAAAATAGTGCTTAATAGTCAACAAAATAATCAACATTAAAATTATGTAAAATTAATGAACTTCTTATGATTCTTATTTCTAGACAAACTTTATGTTTATATTTCTGCTGTATGTTAACTATTTGAAAACATATTCGTAGTCAATTTAAACTCGCAACCCTACCATTGAAAAATTCACAACACATTTCACAATTTAATATTCCACTCCACATCACCCAAATTATCACCACAAATGTGTTGGTTGGTTGGTTGGTGTCGTATCCTCTATAGAATCATATTTCATGGTGTGCTTGAATAGTTTTTGTTATTTCTATGGCATTAAAAGAATACAAATCCTCTTCTGTGGGGTAGTTCAAAAGGTGAAGGCCTGCAGCGACTGCAGGGCAGTTAAAAACATGATATGGTGTCAGTTCCACATTAAGACAGTTGCCACAGTTTTGATATTTTCTAGTCTTATCTGTAGAAATTTTCATGTAGAAATTTTCACCACAAATGTGTGAATGAATAATTAAAATCAAAGATCAAAAAATTTGTAATTAATTATGCTTAAAATCTTGATAAGAAGGTTTTGGTTTTTTTTTTATTAAATTAGGAAACAAAAAGCAAATTTAATATTTTAGCATTTCAAAGTTCGGAATCTTGATTTTCTTTCTTTAGCATTTCATGAGATAATTATGTAAACTTGAATTCAAACTAAAGTTTAACTGATGAAAGTTTAAACTAAGAACATCAAAAAACAACAACACAAAATGAAAATTCATTAAAGTTGAAATTTTTGCAAGGCTTGCAGAACTTTTTTAACAAGCAAATATTAAAAACCACTATATAACCTGAATTAAATATGAACAGGATTCGAAAGTTAAGATAAATTATTATATATATTTAATATATTATATTATAAACAATATTGAACTACAATATCAATACAGACCCTTGAATAGGTAAGATTTCTGAGGGACCCAACAAGAGCATTGACACAGTAATAAAAAGGAGACCAGAAAGCATGAGAGGATATTTATTTTCCTAGAAAAAAAATATATGTACAATCAATCACAAAATTGAAGTTTAATTTGCATTTCCTGCCTAAGAGAACAGTAGGCATTTCAAAACTATTAAAACATTTTAAATATCGTTAGGATATTTTACTTTTTTAATTAAAAGTCATTTTATTTTTTCATGATTAAAGTTCTCAGAAATTACTTTATTTGCAATGCAAAATTTGTGCAGTTTTTTGTTGGTAGAAGTAAAAGTACCTTTTGAATAACAGTAATTTTAAAAACATTTATTTGTGCAAATTATAATGTACTTAAATATAATTGTATTTATACAAAAGAGTAAGCAAAATTCTTGCAGTATCAAATACATGCTTATTAGTAAACAAAAAATTGGTTATTCAAAATTGGTTATTCAAAAAGGAAACAAGTATTTTATTATTCTTCATACAAAAAGCAGCATTTCTAAAAAAATTGATTTTTTCAAAAATAGGTTTACAATTTTGAAACATAAAATTCTAATAAATTATAAAAGTAGGAAATATTGTTCTCATATGAATATAACGTTGGTATGTACTTATGTTTAAATTCTGGCAACATCACGGTATGACCAAATTCCTCAAAAATACCATTCACTTTTTCTAATATGCCTAAGAAATAAGTTTTTTTTAAAAACGATTTTTTAAATAAAACCTTTGAAAACTTAGAAAAACAAATAATTTTAAAATATTTAGAATTCATAAAGTGGATAAACAAATCAAATAAATAAAATAATAAAAATATAATAATAAATATATAATAATCAGTCTTACAAGTCTTACTTAGTCAGTTATGCGATAATAATTGTGAATTTTTTAAATTTATTATTAATTGTGCATGTTATTTCACTTCAGAAACATGCTGAAAAAACAAGACTAATGTATTATAGCCAACAAATCCCATCTAGCATAGATCAGGAAGTTATTTTATTATGTATAATAGTGGTAATTTATACTCAAGATATCTTGAAGATAAATTATGATTATTATAGCAATTTTTAGCTAAGGAGTAAACTACTAATCAAATTTCAGAAATAAGTTTAAACGCACCCAGAAGTAAACTTACAGAAACATTTCAAATACATATACAACTATTTTAGTTTATTTATACTTACAAATTTATTGCTAAGCCAGCCAACAATAGGAGCAGCTATACCATAGGTAGCAGATAATAAAAGAAAGAGAAGACCAACTAAGCCTGCATCAAGACCATACTAGGGGAAAAAATTATAAATTAGAAAGATTTGAAACATTTTATTTTTTTCTTTAATATTAGATCAAAGGTGTATGAGAATGTTCAAGCATCATACAAATCACATCATTTACAAATAATTTACGAAATAAAAAGTTAATATTTATAATAATCTTCAACCATAATTGAGTTTTAAAAAAAGTTCCCTTTTTTATGTTTGATTTTATTAATGTTGCATTCTTCAGTATCCTAGAATAGGTTGACAATTCTCTTACTTATAAAATGGCATACTTAAGAAAATTAATCAATGTTAAATAATTTTAATATTAAGTACTTGATAAAAATTAAATTTACAATCTAAACTTTTTTTCTTTCCTTAATTGTCAACAATAAAGATATTTTGTCTTAGTTTCCTTAAACAAATAATATTAAAATTCTCATTATTTATTTTAATTTTAAATTTTTTATAATATTAAACATTCCCAGTAATCCAAGTAAAATTGGCAATAAAGTTTCATTAATTTGGGTAATGGCAAATTGCAAGATTTCCGATACACTTCTTAGTTTTATGACATCATTATAAAAAAATCCTTTAAAGAAATAAATAATAAATCTATCTAAAATTATCTTTCGATAACCTAAACCTGATTAATTTTCATTGAGAGAATATTTAAAGAAATACACAACTATTAGATTTAAAAGTGATTTTTCAATTCATCTTTTTCTGTTCATGAATATATATACTTACGTTCATGAATATATGTTCATGAATATATATTTTTTAATTTCATCAACAATAAAAAAGAGTGTAAACTATTAAAGAAATTCATAAGCAGTTAGATATTTAAAGAAATGTATGTAAGTAAAAAACAAAACTATATTAAATTAATGAAAATTATTAAATTTTTTTGACTTTGAAAAGTCGTCAACATTACAAGAATAAAATATTACCTGTCGCATGTGAGGCTCTAAAGTAGGATCTATAAATCCTAATATTTGAGATGTCATTGCAAGCAAAACGCAAATAACAAGTATGTGTGGCATAGACAATATTTTTAAGTAAGAAACTTCATTAGTGGATGCAATAACAGATTTTGGATCTAAAATGATATTTAATAATAATAATCGTCATCAAAATAATTTACATCATCATACAACAAACCATATTGTCAGCAAAAAAAAAAGTTCAAATAGCACTTGAATTGATATTAACACTAAAAATCTACATCCGGTAGAAAACAAAGTACTGTTTTAAATATATTAATGCTTATTAACACGATAAAAAAGTAAAATAAACAGCATAAAAATGGTATAAGTCAGTATACCAATAATGCTTTAAAGCTTTAACTGTATCTTCATTTCAGAATTCATTTTCTTTTAGATAATTAGTTATTTTTTTACTAGTTAAAAGTGATNTAATATATATATATATATTTATATAAAGCAGCATTGTTAAATGCAGCTTTAATTACATTTTTAAACAGGCAGAAAAAACAGCATTCTTGAGCGGCCTAATATAAAAAATGACAAAAATAAAGCCTTATGAAAAATATCACAAAATGGTTAAGAAAACAATATAAGTGTAGCTGTAAAGTTAGCTGAGTGCATAAGCTGAACTTGAAAGATAATATTTATATAATCAAACTGTACACAAGATGGGTGCAACATTTGAAGAAAAATTAATTGCATCTGCTAAAGAAAAATATCTTGTTCATAAACTCCCATGAAAGAACAAATAGATTCATTAATTATAAATTATGAGTAGTCTGTTTGATCAAAGAAAAGAAAAGGCTGTATTAGATTAGTTAGTAATTTATCAGTAAATTTAACACAAGATTGGATTTGTGCAAAAATCTTTTATCTTAGGAAATCTTGATGACAAATATTGAAAGTTGCCCTTCGTGCTTCATGCACAATTATAGATACATTTGTTTTTTAAAAAAATATTCTATTAATTTGAATTTTCTAGGAACCATTAATCAGAAAAAAAAATTCAGTTTTGAATTTTCAAAAAATAACAGGTTAAATTTTACTAAATAATTGAGCATTTTACTAAAATATCCAGACATTATACTGTAGTTGCGTGTAAACAAAACTTTTTATTGCACAAAAGAGATATTCTAAAAAAAAAGATATAAAAATTAAAATTTAGGGCTTGAGATAGCTTACCATCCAGATGAATATTATTGGTTGCAAACAGATTATAAATTATCAATTTTAACAATTAAAAGTCATTACTAATTGGTTAAAATTGTTTTTTACCATTTTAAAGTTATGATTTATTTCATTTTTTAATTTAATTTATTTAATTATTTTTATTTACTTTTATTTATTTATTTTTATTTATTTATTTATTTTTATTTATTTATTTATTTATTTTTACTATTTATTTTTATTTATTTATTTATATTTATTTTTTTATTTATTTATTTATTTTTACTTATTTAATTATTTTTATTTATTTTGTGATGTTTACAGTTAGCTGCATGAACCAGCAAAGAAAATCCACTCCATAGAAGGAAGTAGTTAAATCCATAAATAAGATCGAAACAAATCAGTTGAATTTTCAATTTCATTGGTCTATGATAAATGTTTCGTTAGTTGCAGCACAAAATGTATAATTTTTGAAGACATCATAAAACACACAATACAATATATTAATAATTTTTTCAATACAATATAGGTACAGATTTTCTATTTCAATACCTGGTGTTTTGAGCAATAACAAATACATGATTGGTACAGTGAATAAGACAAAACCACCAAGGGCATAAAATGGCAGGGTAAATCCACCAGCCTACATTGCAAAAATAAAACTCAAATTAATTAAAGAAATTGTTAAGTTAAACAGCATTAAAAAGATTTAAAGTTATTGCAATTATAAACTAAACATAAAAAATACTAATCGAGCTCTTAAAAAAATATTTTTTTTTTTGAATTATGGAAACATGTAGTACTAAGATTAAACCTAAATTACTTAATTTAAATCAGTGTCATTCTTCAATAATCATTTGACTCACAGACTACAAATTAAAAATCTGATTTATATTTTTCCTTTATTAATGTCAAGGGAAGCACTCTTAAATTTTTATTAAAACACAGTTAAGTGATAAAATTTAACATTTCTTTCAATTTTTGAAGATGTTCAGCGTTATAACAGTTTAAATCCTAAATTTAATGAAAATAGGTAGTTTATTAGACGAATGTTTAGTTATCTAGGATTAAATAAATTAACTATGCAATGCTATCATACAATGCTTTAGCTTGAGCATTAAAAAAATTTATTTATTATAAATCAATTTGTGAAATTATCATCAATTTAGTCTTTTTTTTTAAAAAAATTTATTGATTTTTTGACAAAAAACAAGGACACAAAAGAGAAAAAAAACTATTTTCAAAATACAGTCTAGTTTATTAAGTGATCCAAATTTTTATAGCTATTTTTTTTAACATAGCTATTTTTCTTTAACATTTTCAAACATTGTTTGCTAAAATACAAGATGTTTCAAAAATATTTAAAAATTTTTTTAGACGAGTCATATGTGCAGATAAACAAACTTTTAGGCGATAAAAAAAATTCTAATGTAAAGAACTGAGAATAACATAGCATTCCATGACCTGAAAAGTAGCCAAAAAATAGTAGCAGATGTACGATAGCTGATAACAAAATACAGTCAAAACCAACAATTTTTTATTTTATTTTTTTGCAGTAGCAGAAAAGCAGACAAATCTTGCCACCATATAACACTGCATAATCTAGCTAATGATACCACCACATACACTGGTAATGATACTGAATAGCTTTGAGATTCCGTAGAAAAAATATCAAAGCTCGATGGATTGGGTGCCAAATCAATTTTAGAAGTGCACACACAGACATTTTTGATAATGATTTCATTTCTATGATGTGCCAAACATACATTAAATCTCTATCGCAACATTTTTTACAAGCTGTATAACCTTCAATGTGAAAAATTTCTAACTTCATAAGCAAGACATCTTGTTATCTATCAATTTGAAGAGATGATTCAATAATTTTGAAAAAGGAAAAAACAAAGTGCTTGATGAAATTTTTGATTTTTTCTCAAAATGTAAGGTTTCATGCAAGACCTTACTTTGAAGAGCATTAATTGCAAAAAAAAAATCTAAGTTAATAAGTAACATAAATGATTATAATAAATAATTTAAAAGGTAAAAGTAAAGTAAAGCATGTCCGCAACAGCCCGTTGTGAGGCAGAGGGGTCACGGATGTTAAGGCTCCACAATTTTGTGGTAGGATTGTAGCAATATAGTCAGCATTATACACAGCCTGTGTTTACTCTTAGAAAAGCTGGTACCTATCGATCTGAAGCTGGGTGGGCTTTAAGAAACCACTAGGGATCAAATCCCAGTTCTTAACGACGACAGTTTAGTGCCTTAAATTTAATGGGTAACTCTAATCAATAACAGTGTTTTCATCATAGAAAAAAAATGGGTGAGAATTTCTCACCCTTTCTCAAAAACAGGGTGAGATTTCAGAAAGTTAAGTGAGATTTCTAAAAACTGAAAAAAATACAAATAGACTTGGAAAAAAAATTTCTTTTATTATAATACATTTTTAACGTCTTCTATTTTTTAAAGCATTGAATATTTTTGCTGCATCATCATAGAAGATTTTGCCTTTACAAGGTATTTGTCCATCTTACATAAGTGCATAAAAAAATTTGAACGTCTTACATGAAAAACCATACCTACAGTAAGCACGTGGCTGCAGAGAAATGTATTCTAAAAGGGGTTCCGTGGTTCGGAGGGGTTGTGTTCTGTTGTTCGAAAAGGTTCTGAACAATACCTACTGGTAAATAGGAAAGCTAGATAACGGGGCAAGTGTTGAAAATAATGAAGATCCAGGAAGAAAAGTGAAACGGATTTTATTCTAAATGACGTAATTCGAAGCTTTTTCCAAAATGTGAGAAATTCGCGAATTTTGAAATTGATTTATAGAATGCGCGAATTTCTCACGGAAATAATTTTTTAATGCGAGAAAAGAAAAAAATATGCGAGATTCTCGCGCTGTAGTGAAAACACTGTACAAGTAATCACTCACACAGAATACAGGTCAAAAAACCTATTCTACTAAGACAATAAATTGCCTCTAGTAATTAATTTAATTTTGTTTAAATGTTTAACCCTTATAAATTTTAAAAACCAAACTTTTCTAAATGGTGCATACATTTTACTATGACAGTTATTTATAAGCAAGTGCAAATCTGTTTAAGAAGTTAAACTTATAGCATAAGTGATTATAATAAATAGTTTAAAAGGTTACTGCAACAATATATAAATAACCACAAGTAATCGTTCACACAAAATACAGGGGCAAAAACATACACATGGGTGATTGTGAGCCCAATTAAAAAATCCTGAAAATTTCCTCAGTAAAATCATTAATGACGCATTTAAAAAAATTAATATCTTTATAAATTTAAATCATTGATATTTTCACAACGTGAAATTCTATATTAATTATATGCAGCGTAATTTAAATTAATAATTACGTATTTAGTTTACTTTTATCTCTAATCACATTTATTATTCTACCAGAAAAAATATTTACAAATGAAAGAGATGCCAAGCATAAATTCTAGTTCTAATATTTTTAAATAACATATACAAGAATTTTTATACATAAATGTTATCGATGATTTCTGTAAAATTCTGAGCTTTGAATTTCCTGAAATTTCCGGATTGCGGTTAGAGAAAAATTCAGATTTTTTCCAGACCACAATCATCTCTGTATACAGCCCCAAGATAATAAATTGCTTCAAGTAACTAATTCTATTTTATATTTGTTTTTTAATAAATATAAAATAGAATTAGTTACTTGAAGCAATTTATTATCTTGGGGCTGTATGCAGAGATGATTGTGCTCCAGAAAAAAATCTGAATTTTTCACTAACCGCAATACGGAAATTTCAGGAAATCCAAAGTTCAGAATTTTACAGAAATCAGTTAACCCTTTTAACCCTTCTAAACTTTCAAAAATATTTTTTTTTCTATTTACTAAGAGAGTTACATATAAGCAAATAAAAATCTGTTTATGAAAATAAACTTACAGCATAAAGTGCCCCTCCGATTGCAGGTCCTACACTCATACCAATTCCCATGCTTGTTTCAACAAGACCCTAAGGAAAGAAAAAAAGCAAAGTTTAAATAACTTAAAAAGTCAATTTTACTTTTAAAGCTAAACATCTCTAAGTAAAATTGTAAATTTGTCAAGATTGGCATAAGACATCTATTTCCTTCTGGTGGTTAATCTAAGGATCAGAAATCTGATATTATGATCTTTATTATTGGAATAAAATACAAGAATAATTTAAAATATAATAATTTACTAGCTTTTAAGCTGCTATACAACTTTTATTAAATATAAAATTATAATAAAAGTTTTCTCTTATAACATTAGTAAATTATAAATATTACCACAAATCAATGCATTTCTCACATAAGTAAATACAGTAGTTATATGAGTTCTTTTCATAATTAAATATTTGAATTTTGGTTTATTCAACTAAATTCAACTTCTAAAAGGAAAAGAAGCTTAATTTTCATTATTAATTGTGGAAATTGCAGCTACTTAAAGAGCATAAACCTAAGGCTTACATGGAAAGGTAAACATCTAGTTTAAAAGTAGAAACAGACAAGTGAATAAGCTGCTGGTAGACAGACATAATGTTGACTAGGTGGAAATAAATTGGAAAAATCTCTAACTTTTCTCTTTTCCCCCTTAGTTAATTGTTATACTTAGATTTGCACTATCCACCAAGATTTTGCTTAGCTGTCAATAAATCAGAAATTACCAAACCTAATAATCTAAGTAAAAATAAATAAAATGAAACATTGAAGTTAATAAATTATTTAATTTAAAAAAAATTTAAAACAAATATTGTTGTAAGAATAAAACTCTCTTACTTGAATATTGTATTAGATTCACATGAGAAAAATTATAATGAGATGTAAGACAAACATGTGAGTGTAGAAAAAGTTCTTTTAATCTTTGCAGCTCACAAAACAAGAAAAATGAACTATAGTTGAGAATAAACAAGTCATTTTTCTTATTAAACAAAAACAAAAAATGAATAAATAATGGTTTCAAGTTATCATCATCAATAAATTATGAAAAATATTTTTACAGAAAATTCAATTAATTTATATATTTCTATATTCCTTTTTTAATAGAAATTTTTTACTAATGCTATTCATTTCATGTTTCTAACAAATGAAGCAAATTAATTTAAATTCAAATAAATTATCTTTATAAAAAACTACGAAAATAATAATAAAAAAAGATAGAATTTACAAAAACTTCTCTCATACATCACTGTGTTTAGGTATAATTGTTTAAGCATTACATAGCAATGAATAAACTTAAAATGATGTAATTGAAAAATGAAAAAAATTATTTTTTGAAAATTTATTTAATAAATATTTACGAAAATAGTGCTGATATGGTCAGGAAATTGGTCAATTAATATTGTCATTGAGGCAGTACAAAATGCAGCAGCTCCAATCGCTTCAAATGCGCGTACAATAAAACATAATGCTGTGAATTCCACAGTTCCATCAACCAGATCTAATAAACTAAAAAAAAAAGAAAGCAGGTTTTTAAAAAAAAATTCTTTAAAAAAACATATACAGCTTATACACATGCTTATATATACACATCTTTTTAAGAAGAATCGTTTTAATTTGAAACTTCATACAAAAACTTTTAAAATGTATAAAAATTGTTTGTATTATTGTTTTAATTAAAAAAAATTATTTAAAAAGTAACTTTTATAAGAAGTACAAAACATATTTATTAAATTTAAAATTGTTCCACTTTGATGACAATTAGATAAGTTTAGCCTAGGGATGCGTCTAAAACATGCTCATATTTTCATTATTTAGTAACAAATTTCAATATCTGGTTAACAATTCCTATTATTTGGTGGTAACAGCTAAGTTAGCCAGATATCCATTAGTAGTTAACATTCATTTATGCAAAAGATCATATAAGAATAAAACTATATTTATAAAACAAGGATTTTTGAAATCAATATACTCTACCGATATCTAAATCAATTATGCTGAAATTACTAATTTTAGTATTGTCAAAATTGAATTTATGCCCAAGATTCTAACAAAGTGCTGTAATTGATAATTTCTCATACTCTTGATAAGTGAAATATCATAGTTTTCTAAAGTCTAGCCTAAATTTTATAGTGTACATCTAGTTTGTCCAATGTAGCCAAGGTCTCACTGACGCTAAATGTTGTATAATAGAATAATTTCTGGGGCATTTACCGTATTCCTTGTTAGCGTGACCATTTTAACGATCATTTAATGCTGGATCATTTTGATGCTCTAACAAAACCCATAAAAATGATTGGGTCCTACATAACACAGTGAAATATACATTCATGCAAAAACTATAAACATAGGATGAAATGACACTTTAATTCTTCTTTTTATCCTTTGTACTCTTGTTACCACTATATATATATATATNAATAAGTGTATATAAAAATTTAAATTTCTATTGTACGAAGAATTACTTACCCAAATAATATGTTAGTTGTACCACAAAAGGCAACACCGGAAAAGAGCATAAATTTTGCACCAACATAGGGAAGCTGGAAAAAGTATGAAAGTGTAATAAAGCGTCAATAAATTATCCTAAATATTCAAAATATACAGTAAAACATCTTTACTACAGTACTTCATGAACTGGCTAAAGATAATTACATAGAGAGAGGAAATCTTATACCAAAGGTCGATAAACTAACATAAACATGTTTATTAACAAAAAACAAATTTTTTATATTATGTACTACAATATAAAATATCTAAATTTGTGTTGCTTTAAAATGTATGCCATTATATAAACGTCTATCTTGGAAAAAGGGGAAAAAGCTTCAGTAGGATGTTAATTATTATTAAGGCACAATAAAATTGGATAATTTTGTTATGCAATATAACTAATTTTATTAAAAATATAGAATTAATTGATGTGATTTAAGATAAACATGATATATTATTATAATCAACTGTCATGATACACAATTATAGTTTAAAATTAATGGAATGAAAATAGGAAGAAATTTAACACATGCGACCTTCAAGTAAGCTAAGTTGTTAGATAATTAATTAGATAAAAGCCATTGCCTGGCACTTCCCTGGAAGACAATGGTTTTTCACTCATCAGCAAAAATAAAATAAATAAAATTTTAAAAAAACTAGAAAGAGGCATGTGATGATAATATAAAAAAATCACCTTCTGAGTATTTAATTGAGCAGAGGAAAATGGTTTTATAGGTGTTTCTAGCTGAACCAGTAATTATCAACGCTAGACTTTTGAAAGTTACAAGCCATTGGGACTTAGAGCTTCTTAATTTCTGGGGTAACAGGAGAATTTTCAATTATGTGGGCCATGATTAAGATTGATGCCCAGTGGCTGGGCTGTAGCGCTTCACGCTGTCGTGCCACAGGTCCCTGGTTCGATCCTTGGGTCGGGCAAGGTTGACTCAGCTTTTCATCCCTTCAGTGGATCGATAAAATGAGCACTAAGCATGCTTGGAAGCTAAACACTGGGGGTTCCGCGTTGGGCTGACCACTCAATCGGAACATCTGCTCTTGCACCTCAGAGCCCAAAAGGTCAAGAAAATTGAGGCGGACACAGTAGGCCTTGGCTTTCCATGGGCTGGCGCGCCACTGAGTTTTATTATTAAGATTAATGTAAATCTTTTTTTTTAAAGATATATAAAAATTATGTGTTTCACTATTAAAAAAAAATAAGGAGACAATTAGTAACTGATTCAGTAATAATTAAACAAATAATAAAACCATAACTCCATATCGATTGATTTTAAAAGCTCAAAATTTCGTCATCTTTTCTAACTATAATTAGGTAACGACATTAATTAGGAAAGGTAGGATTTTCTTTGTAAAAATGCCTCATACTAAAATCAACTGAAAAAACAGAGTTTCATCTATTATTTGATTAAAAACTTGATTCGCTTCAAAAATATACAAATTGAAAATAACAGTCAGCATGTTTCAAGCTCTCATAAACTGACATCTATTTTCATGATTTGCCAGACCTAAATGAGAAGAAACAAAAGCGATTTCAAATGTAAAGTTACCAACAAAAAATGGAAAAAAAAAGGTGGAAAAAAAAACACAGTAACAGAGAGAACATTTAAAAGTTTAATCTATTTAAGTCAGTCTAGTACAAAATCATGTAACCTTGGCGGAAATATTTTAATAATAAATTTTCTTCTGTCCAACTGTATATTAAAGGTAACCCCATACCTTCCCTGCTAATGATAATACAGGGAGCAAAAAAATAAAATTACTAATGCTATTTTTATTAAAAGTTGCTCAGTTAATTAATTATTATTACACTAATATTACGATACATTCATGAAATTAAATAAAATAAATATATATGCTTACCATTTTACCGAAAAATGGAGACGTTAACATTATTAATAGGGCATAAATGCTAAAGACGAACCCAGATACAGCCTCTCGCATTCCTTTGTTTGATGCCTGAGAAATATAAGAAAAAATAAAAAATTTTACAGTAATAAGAGACACATTTTGATCATGAAAAGGATATTCAAATTACATGAAATTGCAAGCTATTGATAAATATTATTATATCTTATTACATATTCAGCTACAGAAATGCTTTGAGTGACATTTTTACAAATTTTTATAATAATGCAAATGAAATTTTGCCAACCCATTTATTCTTAAAACTTGCCACTTTTAAAATAATCCAATAATTTACAAAACTACATCACCAAGTCACTAGATAACATCATCGGGGAAAGTTTTGAACAAGTTTGCTCATTCTGATAGATAATTAATGTCTTAGGCTTCAGACTTATAATATATCAGTATTTTTTTTTTTAAATAACTCAATTTATAAATAATAATAAATAAAAAAAAATTTTAATTTTAAAAAGTGGGAGCATTTTAGGCAAAGAAATTATTATAAATAAAACCAAAAATCAAGAAAATTCTATTTCTGAAATGCTAACTATCATGCATGCTTATTTCCTTGGCAAACGAAGAAGCAGTTTGATATGATTTGCCATAACCATGACAATGAATGGTTATCTTTTTCTGTTTATGTTTCTAAACACAATAAGATTAGCTTTTGTTTAAACATTTCATTTTATAGTTATAATTATTTTATAGGTCGAAGTTGAATTTTAAAAAATTTAAACCTTACATTAACAATAACTTAGAAATAGTTAAGCAATAACTAAATTTAGTTCATCAATTGGAACCCCAGAAACAAGAAATAAAAGCACTGCTTTCAGATTTTTATATTGGTGGGTCTTTACATTGATCTTTATTTAGCAATATTGATAAGCTCCTCCGTGTTCTATCCCAATACATAAAAATTCATTGAAAAAAATATACAAAGGAGCTGTGTTCCTATACAAATTAAGCCTTGAAGGTAATTATAGATAATAATGATAAGAAATTATGACGCCCAGTGGCTGAGCGGTAGTGCTTCGCGCTATCGTGCCACAGGTCTCTGGTTCAATCCTCGGGCCGGGCAAGGTTGACTCAGCCTTTCATCCCTTCAGTGGGTCGATAAATGAGTACCAAGCATGCTTGGGAACTAAACACTGGGGGTTCTGCGTTCGGCTGACCACTTGACCGGAACATCTGCTCCTGCACCCCAGAGCCCAAGGTCAAGAAAACTGAGATGGGCACAGTAGGCCTTGGCCCTTTATGAGCTGTCGCGCCACTGAGTTTAGTTTTTCAGATCTTTATATTGGTGGGTCTTTATATTGATCTTTATTTCGCAATATTGATAAACTCCCCCGTATTCTATCCTAAAACATAAAAATTAATTGAAAAAAAAATACAAAGGAGCTGTGTTCCTATACAAATTAAGTCTTGAAGGTAATTATAGATAATGATGCCTGATACACACTAATAATTATAAACTATTAGTAATAGAATTTAATTAGTTTTTAATAGCATTAAAAAAATTAAACATAGATTGATTTTAAAAAATCAGTTATAAAAATTCTTTGTGTGAGAAAAACTATCACAAAAGTACTTACCTCACGAGGAAAAAATGGAGCTATAATTGACATACTCAAATAAGCAGTAAAATCCACTAAACATAAACACATAACTACAAGGATTTTGTCTCTGGGGAACGGTGCTTTTTCTATAAGTTCTTCTTCATCTGTGCTTGGAGCTGGAGGAATACTAGATTTGTTTAAAGCTCCAGTTGAAGGAGCTAAATGTTTTTCCTTAGGGTGGAGCCTTGGTATTGCAGCAAGTCTACCTTTACTGGATGATACCATCGATAACCTTCTCTCCATGTCAGGCCGACGACGTAATATATCTTCGGAGACACTGCGTATCATTGAGCAGTTTTGATGCAGGGAATTAATGGTTTCTTCACTATAATCAGCACTTTTTGAATATATCTGCTCATCATCGTCACTATCATCATCATCATCAACTGAAAGCGAGACATGGAAGCTTCTGTTCCCATTTTGAGGTGCTATAAATACCCTGCTGTCAACTAAGCCATCGTACAACGCATCAAGTTTGAGAGGTGATTTCGGAACATATTTAGCAAGTTGACTTCTTGGAGATTCGTGGTAACCATTGAAGTTCTTTGGAAGAGATGAATGCACTTGATTTTCAAAAGATTTCTCATCATCATTGATAAGCCTTTGTTCATCCGAATGATGAAAATTTTCATACATTGGACTTTCCAAATTACTGGAAGATATTTTATCCTGTTCATCACTTTCTTCATTTGCTGCTTCCTTTTCTGAATTAGGTTGCTTCATTATGAGGAAATTTAGCACAGCTAGAAAATAAAAATTATCACATTTAATTCATGTGAAAATGAATTTAAATTTTATTTACACTATTAATACTTGAAACTTCAATAGTTAAAATAAATATTTTCTTAAATTTAATCATCTAACTATTAATTTTATTTATATATAATGAAAAGAATAACTTTATCAAGTATTCATATTTCAAAATAATGAGCCAGAGCATTTTACATTTTATGTTTTCCAAAGATTGCCCTCTGATAAGAAAGAATTCAAACAAGAGAGTTGAGTTCAGAGAACGAAAGCAAAATATCTTATCTCTACAAAGATAATAATAGGCAGAATGACAAGCAGGTAAATTATAAAGAAATTAAATAACACACAAAATCTAGATAAGCTTTAAGCAAATATGAGTGAAATTCACCTGAACAAAAGAGTCTTATATAAAACAAGGATTTAGATATAAAATAATTATTTAGAGATAATACATATAAAATTATAGTAAAATAATTAGAAAGATCACAATTTTTTTTTAAAATTATTCTTGAAAAATTGAATTTTGAATGTAAAAAGGATGAATAAGAAGAAATTTGAAAACTTTTGAAAAAAATGCATTATAATTTCATAAAAAATTAACAATTTGCAAATTAAAGTTCCTTAAGAGGGTGCAATAAGTTCTTGTCAGAAAACAAAATATCACTCTTGGTATATAAACTAATTTTAGAGTCAGTACACAAATAAATTCAAATTTTTAAAACCTTATTCCTAGAAACTGTAAGATATATTTATATATAACTGATTATAGTTATATATTTTAAGATATAATTATATATAATTGATATTTTAGATTATCAGAGACAAGCAAATAAAATTATATAATTAAAAAATGTGCATAAATGTTTCTTTGAAAAACTGGCTTACAAAAACTGTGTCCATTTGGTCTATTCAAAACGAAAATCAAATTATTTCATGCAAAAAACCATCAATTAAAACACCAAATTTCAACACTATTAAAAAAACTCTCCAAAAATTTCTTTTATTCAGGTTTTCTAATACAGAGATTAATATGTTAAATATTAGGTATCTAAAACTTAATGAATTTTTTATTCAAAAATTTTAATTTACTAATCTTAACTATCTGCTAAGTAAATAGTAGAAAAAACCAATGCACTGTGCTTAATGTTATATTAATGTTACTAGTCAGAAATAATAAAAATAATTTTTACACTAAAAAGTTAGTTTATTTTAGGTCAAACATTGAAAATTTATAAAATTCAGTATTATATTCCTTGAAATATGCTTAAATTACATTAATTATAAGACACAAAAAAAAAATTGTGCATGAAAAATAATATTTCACTAAATCAATGGACAAAATTTAGTTTATATTCAGTTTTAATATTTGTTTTATTTAATTTACAGAACTTGCATCTTTAGTCCAAAATAAAAATGTATGATTAATCTCAAATGGAATAATTATACATTTTCAAAGAGCCGAATTCATCAATAACCGTCTCAAGTTAAACAAGAGCAGTTTCAAAATTTCTCAACAGGTGTTTGCTCCAATTGAATTACTAATTTTTATAGATGTCTTCAGAACCTTTGAAAATAGTAGAAAAATAAAGTTAGTAAGAAACATACACCAGAGTGTAAAAAAATAAATAAAACTAAAGCTATTGAAATGATATGTTTTTGCTACTATGGGTTGACCTCTAGTTTAAAAATGTTATTTCTAGATTTAATTCAAGAAGCAAAATCCATTTGATATGACATTTGACAAACATGATAATTTTGATGGAAAGTTTTACTACTTGAAACATAAAATAAGTGAACTCTTTACAATAATACTTAATTAACTTTATAACTTTACTTAATATATCAGTACTTTTTACAGTAGCTTACTGAAAAGTATCAATTTATTTAAACTGAGATAACTATTACTATATATGGTACTTAATAAGAAACTAATAATTAGGGTGACCTGGGGTAATTCACGATCACTCTGTTTCTGGGGTAAATAATGATCACCTGAGTTTTATTTAAAAAAATAATATTTTTTTAGATTTGAGACATGGACAAGAATGCTTGTACACTTTACTAAAGTATAACTACATTTACTTAATAACAGTTTTTTGTTTAATCTAACAAAATAAGTATCTTTTAAAATGCTTTCTGTATTTTCCATNCTAGATTTAATTCAAGAAGCAAAATCCATTTCATATGACATTTCACAAACATGATAATTTTGATGGAAAGTTTTACTACTTGAAACATAAAATAAGTGAACTCTTTACAATAATACTTAATTAACTTTATAACTTTACTTAATATATCAGTACTTTTTACATTAGCTTACTGAAAAGTATCAATTTATTTAAACTGAGATAACTATAACTATATATGGTACTTAATAAGAAACTAATAATTAATCTTAGGATTCATATGAAACCAAGGAAATCCACTAGTAGAAGGTCAAAAAATGCTTTTTGTTCAACAATTTTAAAATTATTTTGAACTAAATATATCTAAATTTTTATGTGTTTACAACGTTTTGAAATGACACATAAAAATTTAAAAGAAAATTAAACATTAAAAAAAGTGCAATAAAAACATTAATAGTAATTTCTAATAGAATTAATAATTATAAATTGGATCAGTAAAGTGTATGATGAAGGGTTAATCAATCATGATTTTTTAATTTAATTATTACTTCCTCAGAATTATGTTCAAATCAACCAGATTGGAAAATATGTGATCCATGGAAATCAAAGTTTTCAAACTGCAATCAAATTTTAGAAAGTCTTCATCAAATAACTAGAAACCATTTAAAAGAAAACAAACTGCAAGTTCATAATTTTTAACAAAGATATAAAATAAAAAAAATCCATGCAATTTAAATTCATTGAGCAATAATAAAAAATACCCATTTAATTAAGAAAGGTAAGCTTTAGTTTTGTTCAAAAGTTTTAATTTTTTAAGCGAATGTCGAAATTTAATCTACATAAGTACTTAATAAGTGTAGAATAATTATGACAACAAAATTTTCTTAGATCTAAAAAACAATGTTAATAATTTTAGTAAATGTTACAATGTTAATAATTTTTATTTTATTGTATTTTTTATTACATCGAAAGTGTTGCTATTGTTTTAATTCTTTTATTAAATAAAATTACCAAATAACTAACATATTAAAAATTACAAATTTCGTAAGGAAATAGAAATTTCAACGCTAGATACGATTTGAAAACTATAAGAAACTGTTTAGCAATCAAGTAAATAAAAACTATTCTCAAAAGAGCAACACAATAAAAAAAATTCCTCTGAAACTCACATTATTATTCACTACTCTTAGTACAAATTTACATTTGTTTACTTCTATCTTTTAGTCAGAGACCATTTAGTTATGATTCACCGCAATAATGCTGCCTATTAATTTATACTTACGATATTATGACAGCCAAGAAAAAAGGGTCTACAGGTTTGAAATACCAGTTACATAAACCGCAAATAATACTACTCAATCTTCGCAAAAATAAAATTTTCAGTACTGTTTCTCGTGATGCGTGATGTTTAAAAAAAGACATTACTTACACAGCATGTCGATAATTCTTTCGGCTTAATTGACATTGACAATGAACTCTATAAAAACATACAATTTCAATGGGAGACAGAAAAGAAATTAAATAGTAAATGTAGCCAAATAGTAGCTATAATTAGATTGTTTACTACGTAAGGAATCAAATAAATAAGGAAACTTACACTTGGTGACAATCAAGACGGATTAAGAAATAAGTAACTCTTTTTTAGATGGATGTGATTAAGGAAGAATAGATTTATGGTATATAATAAGTATTTGTGTGTTTTTGGAAAAAATTTTTACTAACTGAAACTTTTATTTTCATCTTAATTAGTTTCGTTTTCCTCATAACCTAATTCATTCAAGCAACCGATCTAGAAGATCGGTCTGCTTAAAGAAATGTGATGATGCCATCTGAAATTCATAGCTTATTACAATTAGAAGGACGATTAATTTTGAATCTCAGTTCGCTAAAAAGAGTTTTATAAATCTCTAGTTTATTTCTGATTTGCTTAAAAATAAAATAGACAGTATTGCTTCTTAAATAATTTTAAATTTATTTTACTTTTCTCATGGCTTTTAAAAAATGGCATCAGTTAATCGACACGTCGGTTTGCGTTTCTTGAGAAGACCGGTCGGTCTGTAAATTTGTTGAATGTAAACATGACTTTTTACAGTAAGTATTTGAAACTAACATTATAATGATTTGCTATGTTTTTTTAAATTTACGAGGACACATTTTACTAATTTTTAAATCGACGTTTAATTTTTAAAATGTACATGTTTTCTTAAATTGTTATCGGTATCTCGTTTGATAATTGATAATCTGTATAAAGCATCTAATTTTCATATTGTTATCTTCTTGAATGAAATTTTATGTAACTAAGACTTCAATGGGATTTTTTCTCAGTAAGACAATTATCAAAGGGTATTTGTTATTTTAATAGTTTTCTGGTCTTGCAAATTTTTTGTGGGTTTTGACAGCAAATTCTTATTAAATACTGAATGTAAATCTATGAATTTTTACTGTTCTTAAAATAATCCTCATAAGTATCCCCGTTTATAGAATAGTAGGTTGTATTTCTTACTCTGAATCACTATCTCTAGTACTATACCGCAATATTAAAGTAAGTGTAAACATCTCTCTACAGCAATGCAAATAATTAAATTTATAAAGACTAGTACAGATTTTCATAACTCTATTGTGATTTTTTTTATTTAACTTAGAGAAAAGAAAACAGTAAATTAAGTTAGAGGCAAGGCCGTACAAATGGGGTGAAATAGGAACAATAGGGCCCAGATGGAATTCCTCAAGAAAAATCTAATTTTTTTCAGAGAATATGTGGAATTTCTTTCAAAATTTTTTTATTTGTATTGTTTTACTATTTTAATGATACAAAGCTTGCATTATGATAAGACATAAAGTCATACATAACATTGATATATTGAGATCCTACGTGTATGAACTACTGTTTTTTTAAATTAAAAGAAAAATCGGATTGTTTACAGAAAGATTTTATTATTATGGTCTGTGACTGAATAAACGCAAAGTCTTGACTAATTCTGAGCAGGGGCCTGCGGGAAACTAAAGAATAACAACAACACAGAAAGGTAGCAACTCGTAAAGTATAAATCATTGTCACCCTTGGCAAACCTCTACATGTTTTTTCTTTTATTAAAGTAGAGTTTTAAGTTTAAAACCTATTCAGCACCTTATTGATAATAGTTGTCACGACAGATCATGATGTAAGAAAATATCCGCAAGTTTACAGAATATGAAAATGTGACACATGCTTTTAAGCTGTGGCCCGTAATGAATTTAGTCTGGAGGCTTCCAAAACCTGTGTTCAGCCTTTGATTGATCCTTAGCCCTGATTTAGCCTTTGAGATACCTTAAAGTGCAATATTCTTTCTAAAAACACTGATACGATTCTGAGTGATATTTACTTAAGATTTTGATTTATTTTTATATAAATCTACATCTACTAAAAGTTCTATATTATTGATCCATTTGTTGATGCATGCCTGCTTAAGCAGAGGGGGTGTTATTGTTTTCCAGTGGCGCCATCTATGGCCGAGAATTCGACTTCTGCCACGCCAAACGTCTCATCGGCAGTGTTTTCATCATAGAAAAAAAAATGGGTGACAATTTCTCACCCTTTCTCAAAAACAGGGTGAGATTTCAGAAAGTTAAGTGAGCTTTCTAAAAACTGAAAAAATGCAAATAGACTTGGAAAAAAAATCATTTCTTTTGTTATAATACATTTTTAACGTCTTCTATTTTTTAAAGCNATCAGAGAGTGATCGATCTCCAATGCAGTACATCCAGAGGTATTGATTTGTTATGGGAACATGGAGGACTTTTTCGACTTGACAGATTTAACATGCATCAGTCACTTTACTACACGACGAGTCTTCGGCCAAGGGTGTTCGAACTCTCGGAGGTGGGCCTAGCTCCCTATCGACCAGGCTATCCCGGCCCATTGATCCATGAATTTTTACATCAAATTTATGTAGAAGTTGATCTAACATTTATTAAAAAATATTTTACTACTATNGAAAAGGTTCTGAACAATACCTACTGGTAAATAGGGAAGCTAGATAACGGGGCAAGTGTTGAAAATAATGAAGATCCAGGAAGAAAAGTGAAATTGATTTTATTCTAAATGACGTAATTCGAAGCTTTTTCCAAGATGCGAGAATTTCGCGAATTTTGAAATTGATTTATAGAGTGCGCGAATTTCTCGCGGTAATCATTTTTTAACGCGAGAAAAGAAAAAAATATGCGAGATTCTCGCGTTCTCGCGCTGTAGTGAAAACACTGCATCGGTTTATAGGGTGGACCCATTCATTCATCCACAGATCGTAATTTTGACCAGAGAATGATCGCTCTCCCATCCAGTACCCCCAGAGGTATTGATTTGTTATGGGAACATGGAGGACTTTTGCGACTTGACAGATTTAACGTGCATCAGTCACTTTACTACACGACGAGTCTTCGGCCAAGGGTGTTCGAACTCTCAGAGGTGGGCCTAGCTGGCTATCGACCAGGCTATCCCGGCCCATTGATCCATGAATTTTTTCATCAAATTTATGTAGAAGTTGATCTAACATTTATTAAAAAATATTTTACTACTATCTATATCAAAAATTTTTGCTTCAATATTAATAAAATATTAGCATTATTGATATTTATGCTAACTGGCGGAGAAAAAAATTTAAAAAAGCATGGAGATGTTTGCTCTGGAGTGACTATGAGTTCCTTTCGTTGATGTGCTCCTTAGTTTTATCTCGCCAAAACTTAGGAATTATTTTGAGGTTGGTACCAATATAGTAATCTTGAAAAATTAATTAATAAATTCTTTTTAAGCATCAATTAAAATCAGAGAAAAAATGTTTTTTCAGTGTGTTAGGGGGTTAGGGGCCACCTTGCGTATTGTGGTTTTTATCTTAAAAATATTTGTAACAAATGTGTTTTCTTTTCAGAACAATTCCTAGGCATACTTTGCATTTTTATCTCCTTACTTTTCGCTTGTAATGCACTTACACCTTCCACGTTTCTCACTAACGCTGACCAGCAAAGACTTAAGAAAATATTATCATCCGCTTTTCCTCTGAATGATCTTACAACTGCTCACTATGCTGTTCTAGGTTATACATTACTTAATGAAAAGTTGCCTGAAGTAAGTGAAAATAATGAAATTTTTTGGCTTGCTTATATTAAAGTTTTATTTTATAAACCTTGCCTATTTTTTATGTAAGATGCTTAATTTTTTATTAAATAAATTTTAAAAATGTACTATGTTTGAAAAATCTTGTACTTCATATATATGTTTGACAAACCAATATTTAAGTAGACTTTTAAAAACTTAAATTGCAATGAAGTTCATGAAGTTGGAGTTCCACTTATAGACCACTAACATATTTAGAATAAGTTTTTTTCTCCAAAATCTGATTAACCTTAGGGATTATTGTGATATTCAAGATAATAAATACAAACATAATAAGAACAATGCTATTACAATAAAAAAATCTTTTTACTTATTATAAAGGTTCTATTCGACAGGAGATTTGATTTAATCTTTCTCTTTCAAGTTCTATAAAATTTCATTTCATTTTTGGTACCATCCAACAAATTGGAAATACAATACTAACCAAATAACAAGAATTAATCAAAATCAAAAACCAAACAATATTATTTGAAGTGTGGAAGAGCAAAAGTTGACTCATTCTGAAAAGTCATACTATTTTATCTATTAAATATATTTTATGTAAAAAGTGGGGGGGGAGTTTTTCATTATCTCTTTAAATTGCTAAAAACTTCGGAGAGTAGACTTATACACTGGATCGAAATGCAGTAGTTATGATTAATTAAAGTTGGTTAAGTAAAATACATGCTCAAACCTTGAGATTACATGACCTTTAAAATATGTCGTCTAGGGCAAATAATCAAACAGGCCATTTGATTATCGCCATGGGTGCAAGTGTTCCGTCCCCAGGACGGATTTCCGTCTTTCGAAAGTGTCCGCGGACGGAAACAAGACAGACTTGAAGACGGAAATCGGAATTTTTTTCCCCCTGTCCTTAAAAATATTTTTTAGGTCTACGTTATTGGTCTACTTTCTTATGTCCTGTTGTTATTTTATCAAAAGACAGATGAATAAATATTTTTTGTACAGTATTTAAACTTGATGTATTATGGTAAAGCTTTCTTAGACAGTTTGCATATGTCGAGGGGGTATTGCGTATGTTAGGTATTTCAGTCAAAAAAAATTTCAGTCTTGGCCTTTTTTCCAACTTGCACCCATGATTATCGCTCTGTGGTTAAGAGAAGTATCCCCATTTTTTTTTTTAAATTAAATTAAATAAAAAATGCTTAATGTACAAAAATTGATAATTTTCTAACCTGTTTTAATTAATTTCATAATTTTTTTAATCATAGGATCCATGCAGGTTTTTTGACTCCAAGATTGACAAAAAACGTTTGGAAACACTTTTTCATGCAACTAGTGGTGGAAAGCTTGCAAATTGCAAAGTAAATTTAATTAAACTTTTATCATTATTTCCTCATTTTAAATTATTTTTCTAATAATACTTTATTTTTATTTATTTATTTTAGCTGACAACTACTGGATTACAACAAGCTTTGGATTCTGCAATAGCTGAAGATTCACCAATGCAAGATATTTATCATGCTGTATTATCATTAAAAAACTTGAATTTGAAAAGTAATTTTTTTTAAGTTTCTTTTCTTGTATAAATATTGTTATGGTTCATATTGTTCGAAAATTTTTTTGAAAAAGGTAATATACTGTCTTTTTTTTTTTTAATTTGGATCTAATTTAAAATCAATTTTAAATTAGATATAATATTAATAACATTAGATATAAATTAGAAACACCAAAAGGTGTTTGTTTATTTTATGAAAGATTTATTGATTATTTTTTTTATATTCTTATTTATTCTTCTAACTTTGTCCACTGAATTCTCAATTACTTTTATTCAAAGTATTTTTTTTCTCACATACATTTGTGCTAGACTAATTAATTAATTCCAGCCTTTTACAAAGAGCCAGAATTAGTTAGCAATACACTGGCCTTGTAAAAAAAATGTGTACTATTTACTAATCTACCTGAAACTTTTTAGGCTTATTGCAGTGAATCCTCATATGTTTAGGAAATAAACAATTCAATGTGCCCAGGTTTCCAATATGTTCCAATACGGTTTCCAATATGTCCAGAATAATAATTGGAATTGGAATAATGATTGGAATAGGAATAAAATAATGATGAAATAGTCTTATTCAAAGTATATTGCTATAAGCTTGAGTAAATTCAGTCTTAGTAAGTCTTTGCACATTTCCTAATTAGTCTAAAGATATATAATCTGATTGTAATAAGCCTAAAAATATTAGGCAAGTTAGAAAACCCGAGTCTGACACTTGTAATAATGATTCTTGTTTTAAATTAGAAAACGCTTGATAAATATAGTTAAATTCTAAAATATTCAAATTGACTATTCTTTCTCATGTTTAACTCATATTTTACAGCTGATTCTGCGAAGGTGTCTAAAGTTTTAACTGCCGCTTTGAAACGGGATGATAGTGTCATAAAGTAAGTAATTTACTATAAATTTTTATATTAAGTGATTATGTTGTTTTCCTTTAATCTTCATTTAACTATGAATATGATTAAGTTATTATTAGACAATAATTTTTTTTTGTGTTATTGTTAGTCAGTAAAAAAAAAATTGACTGAGTCACACTGTTTTGTTTTCTAGGTTGGTTTATTATCAAATATCTTTTGTATTGTATTTTCATAAGGAATAATAATTGATACTCTCAAGCATTTTTTCAAACTTTAGGGATCATTTCTATTGGTGCAGCAGTTTTCAAAATTATGTGCTTATGAAAGAATTATAAATTTGTTCTCTAAATTAGTTATTAGCATATAGAATTTCTATAAAATTATTATTTGCAACAAACATTTGTTGTTCTGATCTATATCTTATGTTAAGTTAATGTGTTGAAGATATGCTAAGTTTGAGTTTAGCTACTTTATTAAAACTTCAATCTTATTGCTATTACAGTTAAAGTGACAAAAATAATTCAATAAACAGAAAAGTTAGTCGTTACTCTTGACCCAAAATCAAATTTAAAATAACAGCAGATAAATTGTATCCATCAGTTTTAAAAGCCATTGTATAACTGCAGGTCATATCGATATTTTTAGTTTTAAAAAAGTTTTAATTTAAAATAAGCCTTTATAAATTTTCAGTCACTCTTGTTACATTTCAAAGGACAATTAAATAGAACCTTTTTACCTCAGTAATACATATTATTTTATCATTTTTTTTATTATTAACAAAACATGGCATACTTACTAACAGTTTAAAAAGTAATGCTTTAACAAAGAAAAAGAAAATTACCGAGCAGCATTAAAAATTCTTGCAGTTTAGTTTTCTTTATATTTTTAGCTTAAAATAGGGTTATTAAATAATAATTTTAGTTTGAAGAAAATAATGCATCCCCTATGTCTTACTTTCCATTTGAATTCAAAAAAAAATTCTGAAGTCAATATAATTTTAAGAAAGTACTGCATCCACTATGTCTTACTTTCTGTGGAATTGTTCAATTTAATGTACACATTTAGTATCTTGAATATATTTTTGTATTACTCTTTATATTTTTATATACTAAGGTGCTATCTTGATAGTTTAATGAGCAGATCCTAAATACACTAATTAATTAATGTAGTTGTGTTAAATAATAAAATTGTAAATTTTTTTACCCGGGATATTTATTTCAAGTTTTAAAAATCTGCGTATTTTATATCTATAGGAGAGAGGTATAAAAAATGTGACCTCTTAATGATATTTTTACCTTTCTTACGTTGTGACTGATTTCTTAAACTTAGACACAAATTGAAAGTTAATTTTTTTTAATGTACATTTTTTGATCGGATTGTTTGCACTTTACAATTAAGATTGCATTTCATTTTTAAATAATTTAGTTGTTAGATCAGATGTTATTCAGGATCTATTATTTTGCTATTCTCAGTATGTTCTGGAAATTTACCACAATTTTCATTTTGAAACAAAAAAATATTTGTTAAATCTAGATTGTTTAAAATTTTAACTATATTAAATTAATATATAAATTTTTTAAAAAAATTATTAAAATAAAAAACATTGCACCATTTGATGATAGATTGAAATTACTGACACAAAAACTTATTTAGAAATCATATTCCTTCTGTTTTATATGTTTTCTTTTTGACATTTATGTATTAACTTGTATTTAAGGTTATAAATGTGCCTATTTTTTTAGCCTTGCATATGCATTCCATGTTGCTTCTGTTCTGCCTGGTGATGTAACTCAATTTTTTGAAAGAATTGAGGATGTTATTGTGCAGGCTGATGAAGTTGATGGTAAATACTTACAGGTTAGTTGGACCAATTCTACTATATTTGTTCATTTACAATACTTCTTGTTCACTTACAATATTGTAATCTATGGGAATTTATTTTCATTAAATATTGCTAAGAAAGTTAATGATGAAATAAAGTGTCAATGATAAATTGATATTTGCTTTGTAGGCAATGAACTTTTTGAAATTTGAAATTTCATTTTAAAATTTTGTGTAATAGTTGTTTAACTAAGCTTGATTTATTTGTTTGATCAAAACAAAGTAAATTTTCAGGATCTTTTTAATGCAAGTTTGTTTTTGTGTATATTAAGTTCTATTTCCATCAGAAGTACAATTCCAAGTAGTTAGGAATGCAAGTTATTAATTCTGCATAATTTCCAATTTTCGATTGTAATTGATTTCCGATCATGAAAGCATACATTTTAACTAATCTTAAATGGAGGAATTTTAAAAATCTTTGTAAAAATACTTATTTTGAATAGATATGTAATGAATATTCGGCCATTTTGCTGAATATTCTGTTGGCCCACCATTCGGCAAAGTATTATTTGGAAAATTATTTTTCAACTAGGTTTTTTTTTTTTGAGGGGGGGGAGATTTTAATAAATTTAGTAAAGAAAAAAAAATTTCTGTTTTGTTTTTTTACATAAACATTTCTTTCTATCAGCATTTTTATTATGACATCATTTTTTAAAGAGTGTTTTTAATGAACTTTATTCTTTTATGGTTACTTTTTTCTGAAAATACGCAAGGTAAAAAAGTAAAATTATTTTTGGCGTTAAAACTTTCATTTAAAAATTAAGAACAATTTTTGTTTTGGTTTCTATCTAGCTTTTTCTTTTTTAAAAAACTTATGTTTTTATTATGACCCAGAAAATAAGAGGATTTCTACTTTCTATTAGACTTTAATCTTTACTTTTTTTGAAAATACGGTAATTGGAAAACTGAAAAGTTTATCTTTGAAATTTTCTTTCCAAAATTAAGATCGATTTTTATTTTTTCTGTTTTGCTTTTGTTTATAATCTTTGTTTTTTATAGGCATTATTATGATAGTGCTGCATTTTTAAAAGGGTTTCTGATAGACATCTCTTTTAGTGTATTATGATGCACTAAAAGAAATTTTTTCCGGAAAATATTATTTTTAGCTTAATGTTTTGTTTCAAGAATTAAGATTTTTTTTTCTATTTCTTTTTTTTTTGTTGCAACTTTAGTCTTTTTTTTTAACAGCTGTTAAATCAGTTTTTTTTATCTTAAATATTTCTAATTTTCTGAATATTTAATTATATTTATTATCTTCAACATTTCAATTCAAATTTTTTTCCCTTTATCCCATACCAATAATACAGCTAAGTTATAATTATTTCTCAATAACTAAACTTATTTCTATATGAAAAAAAAATTTATTTTTTGCTGTTTTGAAGCCAAATATTTAGTATTTGACTGATTTTTTTTTCTGAATATTTGGCCAATTAACTATTCGTTACATCCCTAATTTTGAATAAAATATACATATTAAAGGTTTTTCATTTTCTTATTTATTTTTGGAAAATGTTACAATGTCCACAAATATTGCAATATTTTTTTTTCCTGTCATTAATAGTAATTGAATTAAGGAATAGTTTTACCTTATTTTCTCCCTGTTTGTAAAATTAGTTGACTAAAAATAATGCTGACATAAATATTCATGCTTATTTTTATTTTTTGAAAGCAGTAAATTTATTAGTTATAGTTTGAGGATCAAATGCTGATGAACTGGATTTTTCAATGCAGCTTACTGCAAATTAATTCACATATTTATTTTCCATGTTGTTGCTATAACCTACTGTTGCTCAGGAAGCAAAATAAGCCAAAATTAATTAACAAATTCCATACTTGGCTGCAACAACAGTAGAAAATTTGTTCATTTTGGCATATTTTGCTTCTCGAGTTCTTGATATTTTATTGAATGGTTTTATTTTTATGTAATATTTTAATATAAATAAAACTTTGCTGCTAATATTCTGTTATTCAAAGATAATATTTATATTTTTAAATGCTCTATTATCTGAGCTGTTGATATGCTTGTATTATATCAGTTCTCTTATCAAGAGTTTAAAAAAAACTATAAGTAATGTTTAACATTAATTTTGATACTAAGTCCCTTTTCGAAAGAAACATATTGTTGGCAAATTTGTTGCAAACAAATCTTAATTTTTTCAAGAGCATTCTTTGTGTGTGTTTCCTGTTTGTGTGTGTTTCCTCTTTGTGTGTGTTTCCTCTTTTTCTATTTGACCATCTTATGATTCAATGTATTGATTTTTTGTGTTACAGTTTGAGGGTGGATTAGGAATTACAGCTACAACAATAAGTGGGGTCTACAAACTGGCCACAGTTTCTAAAAAAGCTCCTGCTCTTACTCCTGTAAGAAATTCAATTATTCCTGCCATTACTTTTTTAATTGTAAACTCTCTCCATTATTTCATTAAAATCATTATTTTATAGGAACAAGCTATCAAGTTCACAAACTATTTCTTGAGTAGGAAATTTGTTCAGAGTGTTAAAGGTGCTGCCCAGCTCTTAGAAGTGCTCAAGATTTTCACTACAAATAAGGTGAGTTATTGCGTACAAAATCTTTTTTAAACATTGAAATTAATTTCTGAAATTTACATGGCCTGGGTAATTTAGTTTCACCTGTTAAACTTTATTAAAAATCTTTGAATCTTCAGCTAAAATATTTTCTTCTGTATTTCTTAAAATTATAAATTTAATTTTGAATTTTTTTTCTTACTATATCTAAAGGAACTACCATGAACTTTAAAACTATAAACTCTGTAAGAACTGCGTTGTATATTAGTATAAATAAATATTTTCAAATTACTTCTTTTAGTATGTTGTTTATTAGAAAATGAGGTTCTAAGTTACTAGTTTTAATTGTACAAAATAGAATCAATTAACTTACCTTAGTAAAACTCTTCTTTAAAATTTCCATTAAATATTATCTTTAATATAATTTCCATATGGTTATTTGATGGAACTGTAGAAAGTTGTGATATGTATTTGGAAAATATTAATTTTAAAGTTTATGTATTCCATAATTACAGATTTTTAATTGTTAACCACTTTTATGCTGTTTGTGCTAATTTTTATTTACTATAACAGTTGTAGAGAAAAAATTAAGATTGAAAAAAATATTTTAAAGCAAGAAGGAAAAAAAAAGTAGATCAGCGCTTTTATTCAATATGATGGTAACATTTCATATTGCTAAATCGTTATGCTTTTTTTAATCAATTAAGTTGAATTATTTTAATATTTATATTACAAATTTTAATAGTTTTTTTATATTTTTATCAGCTATATATATATTTTTTTCAATTTATGTTATTTTTTTTTATAGTTGGTCGATAAAAGTATTAAATTTAATACTCTTGACCTGTGTTTTAATACTAAAATGTTAAAATTTTGTTTCCGTTTCAGTTTCATATCCCTGTTGCTCTTACACTTGCTAGTAACAGTGCCTTATCTGATGAAAATCCTAATATTCAAGTTCGTATAACAAATGTATTAGGCTCATCCTTGGGACCTTTAACTGTGACTGTAGATAATGCTAAACGAAATGGAGATGATGTAGTAGTTATGAGTAAAAAAGCATTCCAACCAGTGAAGGGCAGCAAGTAAGAGCTTTATGAATAAAATAATTTCTTTATAATAAAAATAAAATATATTTATAAATAATATATATAAATAAAATATATTTCTTTAAATTAAATAATTTAGCTTGATGACTAAATGAAGCATATATTTTAAGATTTTTCTGTCAAATTTAGAAAAAGAGAAAGAAAAAAACATGGTTTGTATTAAAATCAATCTGATCAATCCAAAAAAATTTAATTAAAATTCTTTGGCAATGAACTAACCATCCTTGGAACTTTTCATCCAATCATTATTCCTTTTTTTTTTCCATTCCATTTCTAATTTACTTTTATCCTTTGAATTCTAGGCATTAAAATTTATTAAATGCTTATGCTCATCAAAGTTTTAATTTTCATGTGATAACATCAAGGAACTATACATTTTTTTTTATCTTAAAAAATTTGCTTAATGGAGCCTTTAAGTAGATAAAATAGTTTTATAAATTAATAACAAAAATGTTTATCTTATTGCATGCAAATTTAATATTTTTTGTTATTGTGTGCAAATGTTGCATAATGCTTGATTTATGAAAATTTTCATTGTCACTTCCAATAGGATTAAATATTTTTTGTGTTTTTTCAATCCTGAGTATAGAAGACAAGGATAAAATTGTACAAAAATCAGCTTAATTTTTTTTTTACTATTAATTAGTACTTATTAAAATTAAAAGCATACAAAAAAAACTATTATTTAAAGTTAATTAAATGAAATTTATTTATATTTTTGAAAAATAAAATTTAGTAAGTTTATTTTTATTTGATTATTTTAGTAGTTTATGTCCTACATCTAGTAAAATTTTAAATCTGTATTTAAAATTATTTTTGGTTTTCAAATTTTTGGTTAATAAATTTCCATTACTGTGTGATTTAACCATACAACAAAACCTTTCACATAGTACTAATAATATTTTACAGTGTAAAGTTTTCATCATTTTTTTTTTCAAATAAAGGTATAATATTAAAATGTCTTTATCAAAATTTAACTCTTTTTGGCCATTTGTAGAACATTATTATGATTTAATATAATAATTACTGATAAAAACCTAGTGGTAGTCATCAGTGATTATTTATACAAAACAAAAGAAACTTTATTATTTTTTTTTTCAGGAAAAAAGTTGTGCTACAATAATTTCAGAGTTTAGTAAAATTTGAAGCCAGTTTATAGCATTTTCTTGAAATGAATTTCAAAAATTTAAGCTTTTTCATTTTAAATTATCACTTTCGATTGAAGGTAATATCTTCGCTGATCATAGAAAGTTTGAATGGAATTTATTTAAATGCTACCATTTTTGAATTCAATAGCTTTAAAAAAAGGGATTTTTTTTAAAAAATTTATTTGTTTACATTTTCAGTTAATGTTGACAACTATACCGTAAATTATAATACATAAAATATTTTGTACTTACATATAAATTTATTTTTTATTGAATGTTTAGTATCATTTATGGGTGTTTTTACTTTTTAGTATCCTTTATACTTTGAATTTCCTGGAAAACAAGCCTCTGCGAGGTTTCTACACTGTGACTATCAGTGCTGTTCCAAGTAAAGCTGACCCTAAATTAATTGGAAATGCCGGAGCTCAAGTAATAATACTTATTTAAACCTTTACTGTCTCTCTTTTTCATACATTCTGCTATTATCTACAACTATATGCTTTTTTAGATTAGCGTTAAAGTCATGACTGAAGTTACAGTTGAAGGAGCAGAAATTGGAACTGCTTATCGAGATCAAGTATCAGCTACTAAGACTACAAGGTAGTTTAAAAAATAGCATAAGTCTTTTTATTCTATATATCTAAATATTAGTTCATGGCTGTATATCATCTATGATTTAGAGGAGGGCTGCACCTTTTAAGGTATCCAACTAGATAAAAATTGGTAATTTTGATGAAAATTATGTTTTTATCATTATTATTTATATTTAAACAAACTTAAGCTCATTAGCTTCCCAAGACCCTTTAAAAATTTTATTTCTAATTTATAGAAATGAAGTCACATTAGTTTTTTCTTTATGTTGACCAACGGAACTGAAAGTAAACGTACAAAAACGAAACTGAAATGTTTTGCTTTGACTATTTGAACCTTGATTAATTTGAATAAATTATATTTTTAAAGCAAACTTTATTTTCAGTAATCAATTTTTGAAATGTTAGTTCTTTTGTTGTCAGAATTTTCTTACATTTTAAATGCATTTTCCATAGAGCGATGGTGTTGAGAAGTTTCTTTACACTAATACACATTGCAAAAAAAAGTTTTTTACAGAATCCTTTGAAATTTCGAATGTAAATTTTGTATAATATTAACAATGTTTTGAACTAAAAGCTAAGGTCTAAGTTTGAATTTGTTGTTTTTTTTATCAAGCTTTAACTAAGAATATTTAGAATTTTTCTTTAAAAATTTGAAATTATATGTAATGTATTTAGTTCTAAATTATTGTTTTTTTTTTTGTTTTTTTTTTTTTNTTTTTTTTTCTTTTTTTTTTTTTGCAGATTTTAGTTCAAAACACGGATGATTACATTATTGACAGGAAAAATAAATTATTTTAAAATTTATCCTTTACAATTTGTCGTAGACCTGTTAGCTTGGCATGAAAAATTTGTAGACACTTGTTATTGTTTTTGACGCTTGTTATTGTTTAAGCTCAAATTTGCCCTTATTTTGAAAAATATTTTCTAAGTTTTTAAACTTTACTTTAAATTTATAATTTTAGGTCACCTGCTTACTAAACATAAAATTAAAATTTTGATTACATGTTTTTTTATTATTATTTTTTTATGAATCAAAACAAGTTGAATACCTTTAAATGTTTGTATTCAGTAGTTTAACTATGCATTTTCGAAAAGATATAAATTGTAACACGATAATCAATAAATATTTATTAATTAAATAAAATAGGGGTAGTTTAACTGAATTGATTTATTTTGCCAGTTTTTTGTCACCCATAATAAAGCATGAAATTTCTGCTCGTTATTGCTGACGAGCTGTTAGGTTTGGCCAGTATGTTTTGCCTTATGAAATTTTGTGTTTTTGATCTATCATATTTTTTCCCAATCTCAGTGATTAATTTTACACGCTACAGATTGGTACGTCAGAATAGTTTGCAGGTAACACGTAGAAACTCTTTGAAGACTGAGGCACTTGTCTTAGACTTTTTTATAAATGGATACCCCAAACAGAGTTTGACCCTAGGACTTAAATTGACAATTGGTATTTTGGTGTGAAAAGAACTAAAAGTGTACAAACATGAAATGGAAAACATTTCTGTTATTAATTCTTTTATTATTCTGTTATCTTAATGATGTGTTGATAATATCAAAACTTTATGGCAACCTTATTTTAAGTTAATGTCATTTTTTTGAGATAATGATTAAATTTTTCTGTTTCTATATTCTTTTACGATTTTGATCACCAAAAAGCTCTTTATACTACTTATGTTAACAGTTCGAAAAATTTTCACATTTTTTATGAAAATAGTGACAAGCAAATATTTGAGTCTGGCTAGTACTCCTGGACTGAAATTTAATGCCTAGACCTATAGCTACAACATGTTTACATTTAGAATCAATTTAATGCGACAAATGTACCCTATCATACTATCGTTTCGACCCTTAGAATCTAGAGTAGTTAATTCTTTCCTGTAGTTATAAAAATTTCATGCCTTTCCTGTGTGTGCAGTATGCATTTTTAACTCTTAACCATTGAATATGTATTTTAATTGTTTTTTAAGCATTTTTTTTATATATATGATGTTATTATTGCTTTATTATATTTATCATGTTTTGATGTAATTGTTGGCAACTTGAGCATTTTATATTATAGAAATGCCTCTATGCTTTGCAAACAAGTACTGTTTAATTCATAATTTTTTTAAGCTGGAAATAGTGGTAACTTGGATATTAATTATGAAATTTATTACTTGTAGTATCACTTATCCTCAAAAAAGTGTTAAGTTGGATGTAGATAATCACCAAAAGATTTTCATGAAATTTGCATTGAAAGACAAGAATGCCAAAACCGCATTGGTCGCTCATCAAGCATTTGTCCAATTCACAAATCAAGAGACTGGTCAAGAAGTGGTTTTTGTGACCGAGCCAGATTCTTCAAGCATATACAGATTTGACTTAGTGAGTGTAGTTAATATGTACAAATTGTTAACCTTTAGTTCTGATTCAAACGTATTGTATATTTTGCAATTTCACTTTTGCTTTCTAGGATGTTTCTGTAAAGGGTAAAGATTTCTTGTATTCATCTGGAGTTTATGACATCAATCTAATTGTCGGTGATGCTGTTTTGAAGAATCCATTTGTGTGGAAAATGGCAAGTATTAATTTATATTAATTCATGCAAATGTTAGTACTTTTGATTTTTTTTCCTTGTGATATATTAATATTTATATATATTTTTAATTTTTGCTTATAAATAACAGCTATTTATCCTCCATTATACCCAGTCTTAGAATAATATTTTTATCAGAAACGTTTGTCTAATATATAATCATGGAAATTAATTTTTTTATTATGGTTTTATTTTAAATTATAAGAATTCATAATGAAACCAGATCACTTAAATGTTAATGTGTAAAGTCTTTTTTTTTTACGTCTTTAGACTTAACTCTAATTTGAATTTTATCCATCAGAAATATATTTAGCTGTTCAGACTAGTTTGTGTAAAAATTTGCCTATCAAGGATTATAAAAGAACATGATATAGGAAATAGTTTATTGTGCAGGAAAGCAACCAGATTCTGCTCTTAGGTGAGTAAAGGATAGATAGTTAATTTTGTCATTCTATCCAACAAAAGTGTCTAATTTTTGCCAGTTTTTTTTCTTTTTTTTTTCTCTATATTTGGTTCCTAATATAACACTTTAAGAAGCTAGACTGTCTCCCATTGGAAAGTAGAAGATAAAATCTAAAGTAATTTAACTTTTTATTGTGTATTCCTGTATTAAAAAACAATAAGAACCTTCTACGATATTTAAAATATCCCTTTTTTTCCAAAGCAAAATTAGTTAATGTCATTGCATTATATTAATTGCATTACAACCAAAATTATTGTAAAACAATTGCCATTTTAGCTACAAAAAGTAAAATGCTATAACAAATTTTTATTGTTTATTATGATGAAACATAATGTTATTTTTTAAGTGTTAAAATCAGATTAATAAATTAACTTTTTCTTTAGGGAGAAGTAACATTTAGTTTCCCAGGAACACCTCCCATGAAATCTCCTGAAAATCCTTATCAACCAAAGCCAGAAATCAGAGTAAGTTAATAATTATTGCAATGAAATTCTTAAAAAGGATATTTTAGTATTGATTGTCTTTAATAGACATTTCTAAAAGAATAATTATTTAATCACTCTTAGAAAATGTAGAGCTGCTAGTCAGAATAATTTTCTAAATCTTTCTGAACATTTATTATAATATTCAGGCTTTAAATTTTGCAAAGTTGAATGAAACATATCATAAGTATAGCTTTACTAGTTAAAGCCATAAGTTAAACGTTGCCTTTCTTAATGCAAAATATTTTGATTATAATATTTTCATTTATCACTTTTAATGAATGGTACGGTCTTTCTATTTATATTCATTTAATTGTTATTTTTATATGAAAAAAAGGTTTTGTCTATAAATAAAATATCTAATTATTTAAGATAATGTGCTTGTTAGGTTTTTTTTTCTGTAGATATAAATATTTCCCCAGTCCCATGAAAGACAAGGCTGAATANTACGGTCTTTCTATATATATTCATTTAATTGTTATTTTTATATGAAAAAAAGGTTTTGTCTATAAATAAAATATTTAATTATTTAAGATAATGTGCTTGTTAGGTTTTTTTTTTTTTTTTTTTTTTTTNTAGGTTTTTTTTTCTGTAGATATAAATATTTCCCCAGTCCCATGAAAGACAAGGCTGAATAAATATTTTTTTTAAATCAAAAAGTACTCGTGAAGTTTTTTATAACAATTTGAAATTTAATTCATTAAAACTCCACATTCAAATTGATGTTTCAATTAAATTTCCTGCATAATCTAATTGACTAATATTTTTTTTATTTTTTCAGCATATGTTTAGAGAAAAAGAAAAGATACCTTCTTCATTAGTTTCAAATACCTTCTCTGTTTTGTGTGTAGCGCCTCTGTTACTGCTACTTATACTGGTATGCTGAATCATTTTGTTTTTGCTTAGTATTTCATTTTAAGATCACACTTACCTTGTGAAGTTGCTGGTTTTGTTTATTTAAAAGACTTTGTATGCAATATTTTTTTTCTTGCTTTATAATTTTTTTTTTTTTTTTGTTAAAAACGAAAGAAAGAAATTGCTTTAGGGAAATTAACTTTAAAGAATTTTCTTTTTGTAAATAAAAGTACTGCCATATTAGGCTAAATAAATTGTTTATTTATTTGAGTTATTTTTAAAGTAATATTATTTTATTTTTTATTATTCAGTAAAAATGTTTAAGCAAACTCCTGTTTTTTATGCACAGATACTGAATTTTTGTTTTTCAGAAAACGATAAGTAATTTATTTTTGCTTTTAACCCAAAATATCAAACAATCTGGTATTCATTATTCATACTCTATGCATTAAATGCTATGAAATCATGACTGCCTCTTGTTCCCTTATCTTTGAACTAACTTATTGTAGTTGAGAATACTTATTTTTGAAGACTTCAATATTTTTTCGTAAAAAAAAGACACACAAAATTACATTATCCTATAATTGAACTGTCATGTACAGAGTTTGTTTTCATACCTCAAACATACATCTAATATATGTTAATTAGCTTGTGTTTGTGGATGTCATGGTATGCAAATCTTTTTCCTTTCATAAACCTCAAAGATTGTGTAGTAGAGACTTAGATGCTGAAATATTGGACTTTTTGTCTCTCAATGTCATCTAGGCTCATTGCAAGTTAAAAACAATTTTATACCCTGACTCTGCAACTATCTGTCTATATTCGAATTAATGTTTATATTATAATTTATTATTTTTAATAATTAAATTATGAACTTTTATTTATAAATTATATGTTCATTTTGTGTACTCTAATTTTATTTTGTTAATGTTTCTATCTTCTTAGTGGATCAAACTAGGCGCAAATCTTTCGAATTTTCCATGTTCAATATATGCTGCAGGATTTCACACAGGATTATTGGGTAAGACTTATTTTTTAAATTTTAGTAAATTTATCTTGTTTCCCATAAGTGATATTTTGTTTTATTTCTTTAAACAAATGTTACATTTGATTAAAATGTTTTAATTAGATGAGGATTTTTAATTTTTTTTAACTTGTGGCCACACTGATTTCTCCTCTAAATCTCAAGTTGTAGCCAGAAAAGGCAGTATTTAAGAAAGAAAGGGATCATTAACCTTTCAACTATCATTTTTTTTTCTCACTGTTTTGAGACTGTTTAAAGCATATAGGCGTTTTTATCATTTTAGTAGTAGCAGATAGATAGCGAGCAGAGAAAATTTGACAAAATGGCGTCCTCAAGCTTTTTCTTTTTTCTTTAGCAGCTACCTAAATAAAACTGCCTAGTTAAAAAATAAATTAGCCCTTCTAAAAAAATATTTAATGTGAAAAAATCCTTGTTTTAGAAGTTTTTTTTCCCCCAATGCCCACCTTATTGACATTCGTTATTCAGATAACAGAACAGATTTGTTGGTCACTCTTTTAGGGGCACCATATTAAGTGGACCAACATTGCTCCCACAGTAAAGACAAATAGTACAGAGAATAAAAAAACATGCCTTGTCCTGGATTTGAACACTGGACCTTTCCGATGTGAGGTCAGCTCCCTGACCACTACAGGGTCTGCTCGATTTATTTTGGAATGTAGATTGTTTCTTGGGACTATGCTGGTGCACGTTTTATTTAACCAAGTTGGTTAAAATTGCTGAAATATTTATTTATAGCATTAAATTAACAATGATTGTTGCACTCTGAGAAACATACAGAGTATTAAAAATCGAGGAACATTATAAGTAACTTTTAATAAATTAAGTAATTTGATTGGGTTTAAGAATAGAAATCACTAATAAAACTTTTATCTGTGCATTGTTACAGGTTTCATGTGCTCATCCTCAGATTTAAGACAGTACATTCAACCTTTTTGATTTTGCCTAGCCTGTAGTTAACAGGTTTTTCTATTACCCAATATATCTGACTGACAAAGTTTTGATTTTATTCAACAATGCCATTTGACAAAAAATAAAAATTTGCTTAAGGTGTGTTATAAAATATCCTCAAGCAATCAAAAACTTCAGAGTAAATTTGGTGGTGTAAAAATCATAACATTTATAATTAAATTATTCAAAACCTTGTTATCAAATAAATAGCTAACACTATTTTTCATTTATTTCCAAATAAAATGGCAACTGTCTGCTACTAGTTGTATGCTATGTCATGTAAATGGCAACATCAATCCAGTCAATTGAGTTAGGTCTCAGTTTTATCCATTACTTGGTTTTGTTCAGTACTCCCCTATGATGTGAAAGTGTTGCTTATTATAAGTTTTTAGGACAAAAATAATTTTGGTAGTACTATTTATAGTGATATACCACTAACTACAATTACAGTGTTTAATTTTATCATGTGTACTGGTTGTTTGTGTATCTTCTGATTGTAAGATTTACTCGTGCTATAAATTTAAAAATATAATCAAAATAAACTGCGACATGTCAGGTAGTTTTTCCCTTACATGGACCAGAATGGTTGTAATTCACATAAAATTGCTTTTGTTTGCATCTGTGATTATTACTGCCCAAAAGCATTTTCACAAATATTTTTGTGTTATTTTAATTAGCTTGTTATGATACGGCTGTTTTTACTATCACTAAAGTTGCTATTGCTGTGATGAACTTAAGACTTAAGTTTTTGAACTGACATTGTGCATATTAGCAATTATATTGTACTGAGCTGCTGCTGCTGCTCAAGTAATTGAACATTCATCTCCCAGTGAGGTGACCCAGGTTCAAATCTGAGTGGTGTCTGAGATTCTACTCCCGTCTCATGTTGATCACAGTACTGAAGTAAAATAAATGCAATGGTAGATGGATAATGAAGTAGAATCCCCTTGCCATCTGACTGGCTGTGAATAATTTTCGCAGTTTTCCTTTCCATGTAAAATTAATGCAGGTTAGTTCCATCGATCCTTCGAAATTAGTATGTCCCAATGCTTAATCCAGGAGTTCCCTTGTCTTATGGATTGGCCTCTAAATTACAAGAGAAATGAGTTTAACATTAATAGCTGTAGACTCGGAATCAAGTCGGCTGTTCAACACTAGCTATAAAATAAAAACTACAGAATAGTAATAACCAGTACATAATAGATACGGAAGTGTGCAGAATGACTGTGTGTATCATTATTGAGTAATGAAGTAGAAAAATTACGATTTTATTCCTTTTTCCATTTTAGTATTAATATCAGTAAATTCTTCTATGAGAAACTTGCTAATATATAGTGACTAGTATAGCATTTTGCTAGTAAAAATTAGGTTTATAACGCTAATTATTATTTAAAACTATTTAACAATTATGTAACATATTTTAATTTTATTGTATTTTTTGTTTTCAGCTATATTTTGCCTTTTTGCTTGCTTCTGGATGCATCTAAATATGTTCTGTACATTGAAATATTTATTAGGAATTGGGCTTTTTACCTTTGTGTCTGGTCATAAATTGCTAAGTAAATTGGCAGCAGAAAAATAAAGGTACTAAATTAGTTATTTTTTTATTTGACAATTATATTAAGTTATTTTGTTCAAAGTAAATTGTAAGTAATTGATTTTTATATTTTGTACAAATATTCTTACAATAGACATATTATTCTATGCATTTTTCAAGTATTTATTTAGTGATTTTCAAAATACTTGACATAAAGGTGGAACATTTTATTTCAATTTCTAATTACTCAAGAAAAACAAAAATTGCCTATGTGTCTTCAAATATTAAGTGTTTGTTAAAAATGTATGAAGAACATATATTTTCTGTTTATAAAATATTTTATTTTTTAGTCTAAAAGTTGGTAAATTTCTATGACTAATTTAACAGATTTTATTTCAGATTATATACTTTATTAAATCTAGTTTCTTTAAGGAAGACGTTTTTATTTATTTATTTAACCTTAAAAATGCTATTATTCCACATTATAAGAGTATAGAAATGAAAACAACTGTTGCTTTGGCTATACTTGTATTGATAATAATCATGATGATTTTATTAATTGCAAGGAATAAAAAAATCATGAATAATAAATGAACGCCAATTCAAAATTGACGGTAACTTTTTATGATTTGTCATCATTTGTCGCAAGACCTTTATGTTTTGAAATAACATTTTTTATTAGTTCATATTGCTGTTTTTTAAAAATCGTATTTTTGCGTTCTTTTTCAGTATGAACATTTCCTTTAACAATAAATTTATTTTTATTCCAGGCATTCCGAAACAGTCATTTGCACTTGGAATTGTTTCACCTCATCAAGTTTATTCATTGTATATATTTCAAGTGTCCAATGTCTGTAGGACTAAATACTTATTTTGAGTGGTTGTTATTTGTAACTACTGGAACAAAATAAAACATTTTTTTATTTATGGAGTTGCAGTATAATAAGGTGTTGTAGAAATATAAGTAGATACTTATTTTCTTCAAATACTTTATAAATATGATTGGTTTGGGGCAATATATTGATGAACCACATTTCCAAATTATCCAAAACGTCCTTTTAAAACATTTTTTGTAAGAAACATCATGATTTGCATGTAAATTAATAAAATATTTCTGTGTATTTTGCTCTTATTATCTAAACACATTGCTAAACTAACCGTTAAAGTTTTTAAGCACTATCAAAATTATAATTTGGCATCATTTTGAAATTAAAAATTTATGCTGAGTATACTTAATTAGAATATAGCACTTTTATTATGTGATAATCAAAATTATTAACTAACATTTATTCCAATGCACTAAAAGCTGCACTTTTTATAAGTATTTCAGATGAATGAGGAGTAAATTTATGTTCGAGAACATTGGCGACAAGCACAATCTGTAATAAAAAGTGTATCAATTAATTTGATTTAGTAGAAAAGTACTAAGACTGAAAAAGGCTTAAAATTGTTTGTGATAAAGTTGTAAATCACAAGAAGGAAACGTTTCACTCAACTCAACATACACTGAGAATCACTTAAATTCTGCGACAGTATAAACTATGCACGAAGCCATAATAATGAGCAACATTATTTGTTCAGCATTTGCTGCTAGACATTTGCAGAGGGGAAAAAAAGTTAAATTATTAAATTCATGAAAATAAGTATGGGATATTTATGAGTAAGGTGTCTAACAGATGAGAAATCTTCTCTAATTTTCAAATATTTACAACTTTTTGTCTTCCTTTAATCAATAAAAAGTTAGAACTGTGAATTGGGAAGGAGAAATTGCATAGGTTTACTACAAAAATGTCCAGATGTAACATATGCCTATAAGTGTGAGCCAAATTGGTTTTTCTTTTTATTTTCATATTTTCGATTTATTTTTTCTTAATTGCTATTATATAATTAAATTAGAATGGAGTTGCCACGGATAGAAGGCGCTGGCGTTTGTCAGCTGTTGACTCAGTCAAGGCCTGCATGGGGCTGTTGCGCTGACAAAGAGGAAGAAGAATTGCTATTTTTATCACTGGACTTGTTTGTTTGTAGTCTCCTTTTTTTATGGGATAATTAACAATATTAATGTAAACTATTGTGTAGAAACAGAAGATAGTATAAACAATACTTAAAGAGTAGATTTGCTACAAGTATGGGTGGATCACTGAATGTAAACAATAACAAGCTTCCTGTGACCGGAATAAATTCAGAAAACTTCCGGTATATCCCTCCTCTTATGAGGTGTTGTGTGAACAGGCTTAGTATGCTAGAAAGTTTCATTGTGATTTAATTTAAATGAAATTTTACCATTCATAACAGTTTTCTGTAATTTATAAATTCTAATAGGTTTCAGGCTTAAAACAAATTTAAGAAGATTTATATCACAATGTAAGGTTTACCATGTTTTGAGTGCTATCCCTTTTTTGGGTCTGTTTAAAATAGTGCCTTTTGTTATTTTTTGGGTAACATCATAGCAAGCTTGTGTGTCTTCCATATTCATTTGTTGTTTGTTTCGTTGAAAGTTAAATCGAAAGAATGTGTTGTATTGAAAACACTACAAGTATAATAATATTGGGTGGCACGCTTTTCCAAGCTCTTTTAGGCAAAAAAATCAATCGGATGCAGTAACCTAGAAGTCTTACGACGAATTTTAATTCCTAGCGCGATTTCTGTGTAGCTTTACACGGTCAACCCTACATGGTAGAAATTTAGGATACTTTAGTACGTGTTTGGTAACAAAACTAAGAAACAATTTGATGTAAAAAAAAATTTTCTTTGGGAAAAGTGGAAATAACCACTATATTGCCTTTCACATTATTTATGAACTCTAAAAAATTTGTTTCATATTTAAATTTTTCACTCAATACTCATGCAAAATTTTTGTATACATATAAATGTTAAGGCTACAATAAACTTGGTAAGTTTTTTTCTGCTTTAAAATAGTTACAAAGTTATGGGTTTTAAAATCTAGTTTTTATCCCAAAAATGTCTGTAGCTACTGGTGAGAAAAAAGAGCACTGTTATTGCTGTAAAATGTGTATTTTATCTCAAGTTCATTTTTAATTCAGGTGGTTTCCATAAAAGTTTTTTTTTTTTTTTTGCTTCTTAATTTTTTTTTTAACTGACATTATTTTGTTATTAAACAGTTCTTATCCAATAAACGTGTCTTGGAATTTTATTTTAGATAACTAACAAATTAAATATCTAGTAATAACTAATAAAAATTTATTGAAATACAGATGACTAATAAAAATGTTACGAATTAAAATTTAAACCATTTTGCAGACTTTTTTGAAGTCAAATTTTGATTTTGCTTAGAAGTAGTTATAAATGATTTTTGTTTTATGTATTCAGTATTTAAACATTGAAAACTGCTTGCTCCATTGAAATAGATAATTGCTGTTGATTATTGGGGTCTTCAAATATCTTAAAACTAAATTTATTGAGAGAATTTTTATCACTTATTTGGTAATATCGCATTAAATTTTCATTCTTTTTTGTGAAAATTTCAATCAATCAAAAGAAATAGATTTTAAAAAAAATCCATATCAATTCCTTAAATTAGTCTTAAAATCTCTCCTTATTAGTTGATCTTCTTAATTTAGTTGTCATGGAAGTTCATTGCTATAAAGTATGAACTATTCTTTTGCCAATAAAACAACTTTTTTATAAATCGAAATTGTCTTTCACTAACATAGTTTTTCCAAACTCTTTTGCCTAGAGAAATAAAATGCCAGAGTTTCAGTGCTTTACTCTTGAAACAAAGCTATAATTTAAATTATATCTACCATCTTACCATAAAGAATTATCTGGATTTTAGAACAAGCAACTTATATATTCTAAAAATTATTAAACTTTCTTTTTAAATCGCCCAATTTTTCGATATTTTTCCATCTAGAATAAAATTAACAAAAATCAATGTTTTATTCTCAATTTTTGCAAATTTTTATTAGTCCAGCTAACGCAGCATTGGAGTAAGTTTTCAAAGATTAAGAAATTAGACCACAAGCACTTTTCATTTTTGAAATTTGTGGCTTGTGCCATTTTTAGAATAATCGCAGAGGGCACTGGCTTAAGATTGACTGAATTTGACCTAACAGTAATCAAGAAAAGCATTTCACCGCAGATACAAATAAAACTAAGCATTGTTCGAAACATGATGAAGAATGGTGATTAGTTTCTATCTAAAAAAAAATTTTATAATTTAAGCTGGTGATTTTTCATGAACTTCGTGGAATGTATTATATTTTTCAAACAATGAAATTTAAGGTGTTTTATAAATTTCTAGAATATTTTTGTTTAATCATTATTAAATTAATATCAAAACATGGCAAATGAAAATTTCACGCAATTTATTTTTTAAAGACCTAGGATTTTTATGACCTACAAGTTTGTTTTTTTTATATTTAAAGTTTCGAAAAGTCCTTTCAGTTTTTTCTTTTTTCAACTATGAGTTTGTTTTTATATATAAAGGTTTGGGCCTCTAAAGAGAGTCATTTCATAAAAACCTTGATCAAAAAAGAAATTAAAACTTGGTGAAACTAAGCCAACAGATTGCATTAAATGGGAAATAAGCTAGAGACGTTGAAAATATACAGTGAAGAAAAAATAGTACATAGATTTTAAAAATTGGAAAGAGTAACTTCACTTATAAATTTATAAAGGTTGCGGTATAGAATTTAAGTAATTATCCATGACGCATGTAGTTTTATTCAGCTATCAAATTGTATAATTATGCTATGCAATATAAAAGCTTTTAAAAGTTAAACTTGACGTCAGAAATTTAATTCGTGCAATTTTTTATAAGTGAAAAAAATTCCGTGCACGTCGTTTCAAGAACTGGAGATGTTGATATTCCGAGGAGGATCCGATCTTTAGATCGAAAATTATTCAAGGAAATTCGATTTTTTTTTTCCGCACTATTTATCTGGAGTGACCTTAAAATAGCAAGAAACTGAAATTTTGCACAGTTTTCAAGGTAATTTACAGAATTTGCCAAAACAATGCAAGTATGAAATTTGCTGAATTGTTGTTGTTAATTTTTGACGCACTGGAGCTGCACAATGGGCTATTGGCGACGGTCTGGGAAACATCCCGGAGGATGATCCGAAGAAATGCCATCACAATTTTGATCCTCTGCGGAGGGGAGAAATTTGCTGGAAATGAAGGTTTAATTAGAGCAGAAACAGGGGTGCCGCAAACTTAATTCTTTTATTTCTTTGAGCACACAAGTCAGCAAATGTATGTAATTTCAATAAATCAATTATTTCTTTGTTTCTAATATTTTCACAATAGGTAAATTTTTTTCTTCCAATATATTACTGATTTAATACTTTATTAATTATCCCGCAGTGAACTGATCGTTAAGACACGTTTCCCAGCAGATCACTGGCTACGGTCAGTGTGCGGGTGGGTGACCACTTGGATCAGTCTACGTAGGGATCGAGAGTGTGCGGTATTGGTCCTCGTTAAACTGTTCTGTAAAGTATTCGACTTCGCGTGTAGGTCGTCGGGCTACCAAAGAGGGGGTGCCATCCCCTCAGCGGAGGATCAAAATTGTGATGGCATGTCTTCGGATCATCCTCAGGGATGTTTCCCAGACCGTCTCCAATAGCCCATTGTGCAGCTCTATTGCGACTTAAATTAACAAATCAATCAATTAATTACATTAGTCAGTGAGCCGCGATGACTTTGCGGTTAAGGCACAACACTGTCATTATGAAGAACTGGGGTTCGATCTCCAGTCACTGCTTGAAACTCACCTATGGATGGGTATCAGCTTATCTGGGAAGTATGGGCAACATTGAACACATTACCCTAACCAGAACGTTGGTCACGAAATTGTGGAACCTTAACCTCCATGAACCCCCTAGTGCAGAACAGACCAGGCTGTGGCGGGAATGTTTTTAGTTTTATTCTAGCCAATAAGTGATGAACCATTTGATAATTAAA